GATGCGGCAACATTAACAAGTTGCCTAGTCATAATTGCTATTTGTGGGACACTAGCTATAGGAGTAATGTAAGTACCTGATACTTAGTATGTAACTATAAGTATAATTTAATATGGTATCTATTTAACAATATATTTAATTTACGTAATAGTTTTGTTTCAAGTAAAAGTAAATGTTTTCAGAATCTAGTAAATTCAAATATTGGGTGTGGTCAATTTACATTTTGTAATAAGCGTATAGGTCTATAGTTTTAAAGAAGAAGACTTTGATGTGCATCATACTTTCCTTTTGTATAGTGTAAGCATCGAGCCAGAATTGGTGCTCGGCGGACTTCGTCCGGGAAAAAAACCTTCTTCGCATTGAAGAGGTGGGTATTTTATGTGTATTAATGTTTAATATTATATATTGATTATTAATTGCTTATAGTGTGTTTTAGTATAGAACACAGGTAAATTCATGCTGACCTATGACATTTGCATTAAATACTGCCACTGGCTATGTACTCAATGACGAACAAAGTCAATGATGTAAATTGCCTCTTTTAACACAAAGTTCAATATTCCTATGGAAATATATACATTGTCACATTGGCTATTGGATTAAGTAAAAAAAGATGCTGCCTTTTTAGTTGGAAATTGAAAAAATAGTGAGTTTCTATTCCAGAATGACACCGTCCGACTAACTAACTCATTACACAATGTTATCACTATCATTCAAATGCAGGACTATTCCATACAATCTCATGAACACTCAATCAGCAAAAAAATAAATGCCGGACATCAGTCTATATATTACCTTGAGAGATGGCAGCTTAGACATAACATGTCTTTAGTTACCTGCTAAATTGTGTGCCAGCCCTAATCATGACACGATTTATGCACGTAATAAATGAGAAACAAGTTGTACATGCATGACATCGTGACATGCCAAACTGTCCCAAATACAACTGGTCTGATCTACTTTAAAATGAAATCAATGAAACACCCACACTGAAAAATATAATCACAAAAACAATTCTATTAGACTGTAAATGTCCAGAGATGAATACTGTGTGTGTTCAAAGTACAAATAGTAACTCCTTACCATGTATTTCCCGTTAGTGTATTCCACGTCCATCGCTATATTTACCGGAAGTGACGTCAGAAGATCGATAAAAAATAGATAAGGTTCGCACTGAAAATTTATTATTGTAAACTTATTACATTGATATATAAAAATTAAAACAACACAGATGTTTAATGACAGAAGAACCTTATATTGATATACTATCCTGCAAACACAATGCTTGTTGCAGGTTATATAGAAAAGGCTACACTAATTCGATGCCGGTTACTGACTGATAATTCCGGATACTTGTTTTTAATCAAAGTACTGAAAGTTTGAAATGTTTGTAAAGAAACCATGGTCGTTTAATATATTATATTTGTGCTCACCTTTCATTGGTGTTGCCACCTTGAATTCGTGCTCTATAATCATTACTATGACGGATATTTTCTCATACGTGTAGTTACGTACGTTCTAATAATTTTCAGATTGGTCGGGACTAAGACCTTACAGTAAAATAGGCTGCAATTTGACTCGTTTGCGTGTTCCATTGGTTACACGAGTTTCCTGGAAGACCACGGTTGATAGTTTTGTTAAAATTAGATTATCTTTTATAAAGTTTTTTTTATTAGGATTTGAAAATTAGATACTCGCTCAAATTTGTACAGTCATGTTGGACCTTCATAATTTGTAGTATGTGTGTGCTATATAATGCGGAGATTACTGTTTAGACAGTCTTAAATATGTGTCCACACACCAAAAAATATAGCTTTAGAAGAAGTGGGATGTCCTTAGTGTGAGAACATGTTGTGAAGCTGTCCCAAGTTGGAATTTGCTGAAACGGGATTAATTTGTTACCTTGACAAGAGTTTAAAAATAGCCTGCCATTCGAATGTGTAGATTGGGGTTAAAAATAGTGACGTTTCAGAATTTTTAGCATTTTTTGAGTTGGTTCAGTTCAGGTTCAGTTTCACCAGTCAGAAATCATGGGATTTTTTTCGCGATGTTCATTTCTCTAACACAGCTGCAATTGTTATGTAGTTTATAATTATACATGTATTCAATGTGTTGTTTTTCATAACGAAACTGCTTTACATGTGTATCTCAAATATATCCTAAAAATTCCTGAAAAGTCAAAATTCCTGTTACCTTGACCCTTATCCGGATCGAACCCACTGTCCCCCTGGTCTATTTTCATCCCATTTTTAACAATCTCTATCTTTCCTTATTAGTGCCAGATTGCATTCCAGGCGAAACTGATATTCTTATTGTAACTACTGTGTTCTCGGATTTGGCCAAAAATGAACGAAAATATCGGAAATTTGTATTTTCACTCTGTCAAAATATTTGTTACATTTTCTCCCTGAAACCTTATGTTTTTATATGAAAAAGTGTAAACTTATATCAATTCCATGATATTGCTGTTAATGTAGGTAGTAAAGTGTTGATTCGTGTCATGTCAACTCGCCCCAAAGGTGATGACCGACATTACGTCACAGCACTCATCGCTGTAGGCACTAGGTCAAACTAATAAGCGTGACTTACGCTTTTGTAGCTTGACCCTACAGTATACCTTTCGTCCACGGTATGCTATAGACTTACTCTAAACATATGTATTTATTCCACAATAGAACAGAGTTATTATAAAAGTGCACTGAGCGAAAACTATTGATAGTTACATTGGTGATGTTACAAAAGACACACAGATAAATAACATCTTTTGAAACAAATTTAGAGCTAGGTACCGTAGAGCCAAACAATGACTTTAACAGTTGTTCTGTCCTAGGACTCGTCAGACAGGATGTACTAGCACGGTATACTTTTATTGTCACTTCATGGTTATCGCATTACATTCTGTTGTTGTTTGATTCAATTTCTCAGAACAAGGATGTAAGTGGTCCATGGGTCGGGGAAAACTCGGCAAACAGAAGATGAGCTAATGGGAATCATTGCTGAATTAAACGATATATTTTGGAAACAACAAGGGACCTTTCCTCCGGGGATTCATTACCTGCCTGTTTGCTCACCCGCAGGATGCAATTAGTTTAGATGATGACCAAGAATTCAATACACGATAACAAGCGTCACACTTACCTTCTAGATTGGCCCAAGTGTAGTGGTTCGTTTTGTTGTGTCTGTACAGACCATGTTCGAGTTTGATGTAATTTGAGTATTTCACGGAGTCGAACTGTTACCCAATATCCGACTCATGGGGGGAAACTCAAAAATAGTGGCTCACAATGAGAGGGTCATGTCAGTTGTAACCATCATCCTCTAGGGGTTGCGTGGGTTGAACACATGGGCTGAATACATGTGTATGCACATCCCTACGGGTAAATTTTCCGTGCTGCCTTATATGAACACCCTGATTGGTTTCACGTCCTTGAATAAAGTCACTGACATGATGATCGTACTATTGCGAAAATCTGCAGATGACCCCTTCATAACGGATGACGATGCCGGATTTATTTCTAAAATTGAGACGAGTAAGTTGACCAGGGATAGAGAAGTAAGACCCATGTTGTTCCATGTTTGTGTGCTTGGTCAACGGACCCTTGCATTGTTGCTTGTTATAAGGGGTTTTGGGGGTTGTTGAGGCGGCATCGGATTGAAAGCCCTATCCTCGTGTACAGTGCCGAAGGTGGAAGTGATATACATGTAATGGCCCAACCGACCGTTAAGGAGGAGCGGATTGGCCGCTTCTTTTTGTGTAGGCGGCCATCGATGTTGCGACTAAGCAAGTGATGTTCTACTCAATACAACCAGGAGTTGTGGGCTCATCGGAATGGACAAGCATACCTTTCACGGAATAACCTTAATGATTAGAAAGACTGTCTACCAAGGTTCGATGGGTTCCTGGCCCGGTCTTGTGGTGGTCTCAGCCTCATCATATACATTAATTCTGTTCTGCCCAGAATGTTTTACAATGCTGAAACACGAAGGAGTTTTGTAGGTAACGAGCTGACATGCCTTGGTATAGTAAAATCCTTCATGTCATTTCGCCCCGAACCCGAAGGTAGTGACCAACAGTACGTCACAGCACCCGCAGTGGAGTGTCATGCTTATGTTGATTCAGTTTGATTCAAAATATTGAAATTTTCATGTAAACAAATTAATATATATAAATCGTATAATGTACATATTTATAATGGTTTAATAAGTTGTAAGAATTTGTGCCCAATCATTTTTGTCATTTTAAGGTAAATTAAGTATGTTTAAGTCAAATATAAACGGTCGTATTTTTACGCTGTTGTAACGTGATTGTAAACTTGCCGTTCGCTGCGTATCATAGTTTTTCTATATATATTCATACATTCTCACTGGAAATGAAGTTAGTTAAACTCGACCCTCAAAAGGAAAATAATGTTCTGAATATACACCAAATATCTGTTATACTTAAACTTATTCGTTAGCACTAACGGATTTAGAAGGTCGTAGATCCTCCGGAGGTAGTGCCGTTGTTGATAAAACTAGAGGGGCCAGTTAGCCCTAGTCAGTACTCTGATTGTTATTTAATAACAAACGGATGCGTATGGACAATGTGATCATAAGATCAATATATAATGGGATATTTTTGAAGTGTCATCACTTATGAGTTAGATATACAAAACTTTCCATCAAGCAATTATTTTCTGTATTTTCTTCTTCTCCTTTGGGAAGTGAAATTACTTACTCGAATCCACCAATATTTACATGACGGGTGTTGTCGATGAAGCAGAAGTTCCTTACCCTTTTGGAACATCTGGTCTTATTATTTGTTATTCTCCTTATACATTTTTTCAACGGTCTCCGTGTAATGATTCCCACCTATGTTTTGTCTTCATTTCATCGATTTTAATATTGATTATTTTGGGGTTTTTTCCACACATGCTTTTCACGTTTTTAATCGACGTCGCAACACAAAGAGTAGTGCGGTTTTGTCGATTCTTAAACACATGTAAAACAATAAACAAATATATTTCATAACATTTATTTAGTAACTTTAACTGTATCAATTGTATTTAAGGCATCTGTATACAAAGCAAGAAATTTAATTACAAAATAATGCACGAAAGAGATGCGTTTGCTAAAATGGATATAAAAATATGTAGGTTATCGAATTCTGTGTAAGATATAAAAATATTTCTGACGACAGATTGAAGACTACATACATGTGCAATTACTACAATAGCCAGGAGATTCTAAATTACCGAGATGTTACCGTTGTTTGGAGAGGCTGTGAGGAGGGTTCTTGTAAAAATACTGTTGCATAGAGACACTAGGGGAGGTCTTTGTAATAAAAACTGCTGCCTAGAGACGCTACGATAATGTTCCTTATAAAAAATGGTTGCTTAGAGACGCTATGGAGATGAGTATTGTAGAAATAATGATGTATCGAGACACTGTTGGGAGGTCCTTGTACAAATTGCTATGGTCTAGAGACGCTATTGGGAGGTATTTGTTGCCTAGAAACGATGTGGAAATGGTTCTTGTAAAAACACTGTTATTTCGAGACGCTTCAGAGGGTTGTTCTTTCTTTTCTTTTTTTTTTTTTTTTTTGAAAAAAATACTATTAATGCTACTATGATGGTCCTTGTAAAACAGTGTTGCTTAGAGATTGGCCTCGAAAAACACTATTGCACGGAGACGTATTGGGGAGTTCAAGTAAAGATACTAGTGTTTAGATACGCTTGGGAAAGGGTTATTACATAAATACTTTTGCCAAGAGGGGCTAGGGGAGGAGGATCCTTGTAAGAATGCTGTAATCCGGAAACGCTATGTGAAAGGGTCTTGTAAAATACTTTTGCCTAGCGACGCTACAGGGAGAGCATTTATAACAATGTATTAAGCATACAAAATTTGTGAAGCATGAGATAACAGAGGGTGAAATGTGATGGAGACGAACGAGATAAAATTGTTTTTGCCAACATTTAAAGAGCCATTATATTTATACATGGATAAAATTCCACTTTATAAAAGTGCATATTGTATATTAAATGACATATTTGAACATTTCAAATATCGATACAAATTGCTTCACGGTTGAAAATCGAGCTGTCCAACTCATTATTAAATTCACGGTTCCTATTCAGGTCGTAGAAGTCTTTGATTTCTCCATCAAACGTGGTCAATCTTGTGCTCTACAAAACATGAAAATAACTGACGGTAAATGATACATCAAAAACTTAATATAATAAACTTTTCCTCTTTTCCCTTCCCGTTCTCTCCACGTGCGGCTTTTTCAACTGAAATTTCTCCCAAGAATCAGAACGTAAAGTATCGTATCAAAGAGAGATAACTCTCAGAGATATATGAAGGAAATCCGGTCAATTTCTGATCAGGATGCATACATTGAAAAGTGAGGGTTTTTTCATATCTGAAAACAATTTTCATGGTTTGTCCTGTTGATATTGAAATCTTTCCAAAAATATTTAAAAGGCATCAGAATTCACAAATCATTACCTCTCAGTGCACAGCGGAGACACCTGATTTTAAAACCCCATGACGTAGACGTGTATAAACATAAAAGAACTTGAAACATAACTGTTTGCTGTAGCAATGATAAAGCAAGTTTGGATATCATAAAAAGATGACTAGTATGGTAAATAAAGAAACAGAAAAGGAATCGTTTTCTTGATAAAAAAGAGCGAACTTGTTTTGTAGTAAATGAAGACTTAATACTACAGAAGTCTTTATTCGATATATAATTTCTCATCATACTTTGATACAATACCATGAAGGCAGTTGAGTATATAGCTTACCAGTCTGTTCATGTCGGGGTGCCCGCCGAGCCAAAGATACTTAGTAAGATCCATGCTTGTTCTCGTCCCTGTCACTACAAAATCATGTCCACCCACACTCATCCCCGTGACGGTCTGATTCACTTCATGTCCATTCACTTCTATCTGACGCTCATAGTTCCGGAAAAACTCCACCTACATTGAAAAGATATATTATAATGTTACGGTGCTACGAAAAGGACCATGATAGTTTCTTACCTTCTGCTGCCTAAAATTCCACTGGTAACGTAGCTCATAAAACCTTTATGCTTGATTTGATCATTTGATTTCAAGGATATATATTATGTACTGTAAAATCTTTAATTTTCGCGGGAATTTATTTCCATTGATTTCGTGTATATTCTTTATGAACGAATTAAAACATCTACCAACTTCTAAATGTTAAAATAAAATATAAGTACATGTATAAATAGGTTTATTGAACTATTTATCAACAAAATCAGTTCTCCACGAAATAGTTTTTTCCCACTAATTTTAAATACCACGAAATTGAGTAATCGAAAATATATGATTTTACAGTAGGTAAACAGACAACTCGAGTGTATAGAAAGGTCTATGATAGCGATGATAGCGACGTGCCAATGTGTCCAGAGGGAGCTCGCGCCATACATACCTCAACCCAGGTTCCGTTGTTGACGGTGAAGTTTGTCTGGACGTGGCTACCAAACGACTGTCCAGCCCCGTAGGGTGCGGGATTAAAGGCGAAAAAATGGAGGATGCCGTTTGAAATGAATAAGCTCTCATAGTCGTGTGGCTTGTGCTCAGTGTAGGTTCCCTCCACATAGTATAATAACTCGTTAGCCCTCAGCGTGTTAAACGTTAATTTGTACCGAAACCTACAAAAATACAACATGGCTGAATCTGGATTCTGGAATTACGTAATGAAGATGGTACTATCTAAACAATAAAAAAGATTAACATGAAGAGGACTAGAGGGCCTGTATCGTCAGCCTGTTTTACAAGAGAGGACATTAGAAGAATTTGTCCTGGCAACTTTCATGTTGATCCAATCTTTAATGTCATTTTTCCTGTGCATTAAGTTACAGATGAAATTATACAACTTTTAATCTATTATTTAAAATAAATAATTATTTGAACAACTTTGATTGCCTTTCATCCCAGCACGTTACTGGCCTTTGTGATTACTCTAGGCCTTTTGATGATACAGAAAAAGGTCATTTGAGTATTTTCACACACTGCAGGACTTCTTCAACCTTAAATATAATTCCATATCAATTATTTGAACAAAAACAATGGTCTGTACATGCATGCTAGAGACAAAACATCTCGATATCCAGCCTGCTTATAAGAAAAATTGAAGACTAAATATAAATGAAAAGCATCATGTGATTTGGGATGGTACAGTGTATAATGTAGTATAGGTAATCCATTTGAACAGCTTGACGGCTCTTTTTCCAAAATTACAACACACTACTGGCACTATATCACGACCTTTGGTCCTTTGGTTTAGAACAAGTCTTTCGATAATTTTGCCTTTTCGTACCTTCATATTTTGACCCATGTCATACTGAAAACATGCCAAGGTAATTCATTTTATTAAATTTGAAAGCACTTCATAACCAAGCGAGCTAATTGCTTAATATGCCGAATCCAAACCACTTGGTCGATGACTAAAAGCCGTTGAAAGAAAGTGGGTCAAGGACAAATATTTGAATTCCTTAATACTACATTTCAATAGCCTAATATCATGGAAATGGGCTACAATGTATCTGTTTTGTTCAAAAGAAGTATTTTGAATAAATTAAGATATGTAGATCACGTGACCCTAAAAGCAGGTCAAGGTCATCGATTTGAATAAACCTGATAGTTCTTTCTTTCAAGCATGGTCTTGACCAAACATCTTGACTCTTATAATGCTAGGGATCAAGATTTTAATCGGAAAAGACGAATTCGACATCAACTCACTTTCCCTCCGCGACGTTGGGTTTAAAACTATAAAACGTTTAAGAAAAAGCAAACACGCCACCTCGTTATTTAGTATAGAAAAATCACATACATATCGCCAGTGTGTTAATGGCTTACCTAACAGATATGTCCTCCTGGTTCTCGAACACAACCATATTCCTCCCATTACCATTCAGGCGGTAACATCTGCTGTCCTGGGCAACAATCACACTCTACAACAGAGACAACAGTCATACTCTACAACAGAGACAACAGTCAAACTCTACAACAGGGGCAACAGTCATACTCTACAACAGAGATAACAGTTAAAATCTACAGCAGAGACAACAGTTAAACTCTACCACATAGACAACAGTAAAACTCTTCCACAGAGACAACAGTTAAACTCTACAACAGAGACAACAGTTAAACTCTACAACAGAGACAACAGTTAAACGCTACCACAGAGACGATAGTTAAACTCTACAACAGAGGCAACAGTCATACTCTACAACAGAGACAACAGTTAAACTCTACAACAGAGACAACATTTAAACTCTACAACAGAGACAACAGTTAAACTCTACAACAGAGACAACAGTTAAACTCTACAACAGAGACAACAGTTAAACTCTACAACAGAGACGATAGTTAAACTCTACAACAGAGACAACAGTTAAACTCTACAACAGAGACAACAGTTAAACTCTACAACAGAGACAACAGTCATACTCCACAACAGAGACAACAGTTAAACTCTACCACAGAGACAACAGTTAAACTCTACAATAGGGGCAACAGTCATGCTCTACAACAGAGACAACAGTTAAACTCTACAACAGAGACAACAGTTAAACTCTACAACAGAGACAACAGTTAAACTCTACAACAGAGACAACAGTTAAACTCTACAACAGAGACAACAGTTAAACTCTACAACAGAGACAACAGTTAAACTCTACCATTGAGACAACAGTTAAACTCTACCACTGAAGCAACAATTAAACTCTACAACAGAGACAACAGCTATATGTTGCCATGTGTTCCTATTGCTAATTGTGTGTAGGTTGTCATGTGTTTGTGTTGTCATCTGTAACTGTTGCCATGGTTACATGTTGCCTTGTGGATGTTGTCGTGTTGCCATTATGAATGTATACTAAAATCAAAATTATTTTCCTTTCAAGTTAATTGTTTTCGTGGTGAATTACTTGTCCATCCATCCTGATCCTATCCTGTCCTCTTTCTCAAATAGAGATATACAAAGCACTTTATATGCTACTAATTATGGGCCGAGGAGCGACCCTTATCGAGAGTTCTGTATATGTTTCTGTCTGGTTGGGTTTGAGTTTTGAGTACCGATACAACATGTGTTACTTGTGTTACACTGTATCCGACGCAAATTTACCCAGTTTTTATTATTACGGAGATTGTTCTAACATCAAAACGTCGCTGGTGAAATGGGCGAAACTGATAAGCGGCCCGAATTGTTTGTGTTTTGCAGTTATAATAGGCCTATTGCCAAGTTTGTAGTGTCAGACGCTGCCAAACTTCAAAGATTATCTACAAAAGCATGTTTTCGTATTATAATACCACGCGGGATCGGTCCATCTACCCGCTGAAATTTTGACCTAAGGTAACAGACTCCAATCTGTTACAGATGTGCGTTACGATATGTATAGTTTCGTCAAAATTCCCCCTCACAAACCAAACATCCTTTACATAGTAACAAATCAACGCTGATATAAACAAACAGATGGTAAGAATAAACGAAAATATCCTGCTCCAGATATTAGGCTCAGGTGTAGCACAGTGACGTAATACAGTTCATGATTGACGTCACATAATGAATAAGGAAATACCGTGAAGTGGAATGACGTCAGGTGATAATCTAAAGCTTCGTGCCGTACATACAAGACTGCCGAACTATACTGAAATTAGGAGGGCACGAGCTGTCAGAGAAATATTATCAGTCAGGATAAATATATAATTGTTTCTTAATTTCTCGCAGTGTTTTGAATTTGGGGCGCGTTCCTTTCCGATGTGTAAGAATCTGGGGTGCGTTAGGGCGATATAACGAGAAATATAGCTAAGAATGCTTTGGAATGAGTGTATAGCCGTGTGAGGTTGTCACTGATACCAGAAATAGTTCAAAACAGTTGAAAGTACGAACAACGTTCTACAGTGGGAGTCATAATAATAGGACAGATGAATAAATACGAATGATTTCCGTGACTGCGATTCTCTCCTATTTTGTCCGGGATTTGTTTACCTACTCAGATACCGTATATTATGGTATAATTATATAAGTCCATTTTTATCTTTATATACGTCGGAAGTCATTGCCTTTTATATGTTCAATAACTATTTGTGGTATATTATCTAAGGACCAGTGGAGAGTTCTAGAATGTCTTCAATGTTCCTTCAACACATCTCCCTTACATGAATCGGTAGAATGTGGTTAATATTTTACCAATTACAAATGTAATTAGACGTCAGACGATTGTTCTGTCAACTGTTACCCAGGGATGACACTTAATACCGTTTTACCGTCTTGGAAAAGCGATCTTATATCAATCTGTCACAAAGATATGCTATGTTCTAATCCATCACTCCAATGCAATTATGGCTAAAGACGGGTGATCTTACTTGGAGCCCAAAGTGTAGAGCGCAATATGGAGTATGTAATTCCAATGGGAAAATACCGCTGACATTTCTATTTAACAATCCATGTCACACATGTTTACCAGCGATAACTATATGTTTAGTGTCAAGATTTTAAATGCTTGATCCTATAATAATTGTATATAATCGCAACACAAAACAATGTGAGATTGTTTTTAAAAAGCAGGAAAATTCATCTCCAACACTATCGAAGTGAGTCAAAGTATTTAGCACCACAGGGGGTTGGCATGCAGGGATTCCCAACCCGCCAATCCTATTTCCCGTATCTAAACATGTATATTATTGCTAAGACCATGTGATTAACACCGACCATTACGGGGTGTCTATATCAGAAGTAAGACTGTTTCCGGAATCCTTTGTGAGTTCTGGACTAATTATACAGGTCCTTGACCGGTCCACTTAGCTACATCCTTAACTCCCGACATACACTATCCTAACACTATAAACTCGCTGTTTCAAGTATATATCTTAAAACAAAATTAGGTGGTTCTGCGAATTATACTGACACTCATCAACGATATAATACTCGGTCCGAAAAAAATATTTCTAGTAATCACAAAATTATCTAAGGATACATTTTGAAGCGTTTTTTTAAAAGAAGGCGCTTACCTAATGAAACATCGCGTGGGTGATAATTCACCTTCCATGCCAGAGCGAAGAATCAATGCGTCACAGGGACTTGAAATGTCCATGATCCGTATATACTTGAAGCCCTTTGAAAACGTACACGAAGCACATAAGTAGGTGTTTTGGAAGGGTATGTGTCATCCATTTCATCAATGACACCCGCAGTGTAAATAATGCCACGTTCCCAAAAGAGAGCAAGGTTGTATTTCTCGAAATCCGGTGTTCCAGTTTTGTTTACAAGATTATCGGTCAGCTGTCAATTAATGCAGAGTCAACTGCGACAAATATACAGCATGTGTTGGAGAAACAGAATTGTTACTATACAGAATTGAAAAACTCGCTATACGTTGCGTTGACGGTAAAGTTCGATGTCAGAGCTACTAATGTAGATTTCAAGGCAATATTTTATTTTCAACACAGCGTGTGTAGAATAAATTTGTACACCGGAGGCAACAGATAAGGATGGTACTCATTTTCAATATATGACAAACGAATTTGTAAATGTGTTGTATGTTGTTTTTTCTCGTGCGTCAACAGAAAGGGGAACTATTACTATATACTAAACGTTATGTATGAAGAGAGTATACTCTGGTGTCTATTGATTTGTTTTAAGGAGTTTCCTTCGAGAGGTATTTACGCAGCTCTTCCAGCCAAACAAAAGCCACATCTAAATTCGATGTTATTTCCATGTAGTGGGATGATTACATCATATTTTGCTGCGTGTAATAGGAATGCTTGTTGATTACATGGTTATCCATTGTTTATCATTGAAAGGCACTGTTACGGTGTAACAATACCAATGTCAGCTATGTTTCACAGCTCAGGAACTATCAAAACTTGTAGGGTTTTTTTTAACTAATGTGAAAGCATGAGATTGTCTTTCCTTTTTATACATGTACTAGTAATATCAAGCACTTAATTGTTTTTAATTGTCATTCCTTAACAAATTCAACACGTATGTATAGAATTTGCTCTTATCTTCTTGTCATTTTCAAGTCGATGAATGCCAACCAAAGCATTAGATACTTTGAGAATCCAGTGCGCTAATACCATGTCGCATTGACAATGACATCATAAGCGAGAATGACCTTGACAAGGGACATGAACTTTACATGAGGTCAACTGAATAAATATCAATCAGGCTGTCGTGAAAAAGTGTCAGTTAACAACAGTCCTGTTATGGAATATTTCATCATCTAGTTTGGCATCCCGATATAAAACTATATTATCTTTCCTTACACATCATATCTACATAAAACTATCTCACCTAACATAGACAATTTATCACTTTACACATCATCCCTACATATATCATTACCTTACCTTAACAGAAGATATTATCTTTCCTCTCACATCATTATATATCCCTACATCAAACATTATTTATCCAAGCTTAAGACATCATCTTTCCTCACAAATAATGATATATTCGTACATTAAATATTGTTTCATCCAACATAACACATTATCTTTCCTCGCACATCATTATCTAGCCCGCATTAATACCATTTTACCACAATATAAGATATTGTCTCTTCTAAGACATCATTATCTAGTACTTTGGTAAGCATCATTTGCCTATGATAATCCCTATCAACCCTGCGCTATCGTAACCAGATATAATAAAAGTATACAAAACGGCATCGCAGTGAGGGTACGTACCTGGAGGTAAAGAAGAGAGAAGACGAGAGAGGTCCACATGATGATGCTGGTTATGTGGGAGCGGGCGATGCACGTACACAGTATGCATAGCCTCTCCACACACTTAATCACTACACATTGTCTGTATACATTGTGTGGAGTGGTTCAGCGACCGTAATACATCATAATCACCCCAGATAAGTTTTGGCCACAGAAATTGAAATATAATTAACACAATGCAATCCTTATCGTTCGTTGATGATCGGTAGAGGTAATTGGCCGTGCACAGCCCCCAATCCCCCATTTGAAGTCGATAAACACGTAGGCAAAGGTCTGGAGGTTCATTCACGGCGCAAAAAAATTGGTGGCGATCCAACAGTCAACGCAGAAGTACAAACTTTTTGTGATGATGTGTTGGGTATGTGCCTGGCATGTTTTACGTTATGGTTTGTCTTTCACATCTATTACATTAATGATGTCTTATTTTGTATATCGCCTTGACGTAATTTCAAATTCTGTTGTATGTTATGATGTGGTGACTGTTATTTTATAGTATTATACTGGCCGTTGTGTTGTGGCGTCTGTTTTGTTGTGTATTATGATGACTGAGGTGTTGTGTATTATAAATGTTGTGTTGTGTGTTATGATGAGTGTTGTGTTGTGTATGGTGATGGCTGTTGTGTTGTGCGTTACGGTGTATACTGGGTTGTGTATTGTGATAGATGTTGTGTGATATGATGATTGTTGTGTGTATGGTGATGAATGTGGTGTTGTGCGTTACGATGTCTATGTGTTGTGTATCATGATGTATACTGTGTTGTGTATTATGATAACTGTTGCGTTGTGTGTTATGATGACTGATGTGTTGTTTATTGTGATAAATGATGTGTTGTGTGTTATGATGATTGTTGTGTGTGTATGGTGATGAAAGTTGATTATGATGTATATTGTGTTGTGTGTTATGATGATTCATGTGTTGTGTATTGTGATAACTGTTGTGTTGTGTGTTATGATAATTGATGTGTTGTGTATTATGATAAATGTTGTGTTGTGTATTATGATAACTGTTGTGATGTGTATTATGATGTGTGCTGTGTTGTGTATTATGATAACTGTTGTGTTGTGTGTTATGATATATGCTATGTTGTGTATTATGATAACTGTTGTGTTGTGTGTTATGATGACTGTTGTGTTGTGTATTATGATGTATGCTATGTTGTGCATTATGATAAACGTTGTGTTGTGTGTTATGATGATTGATGTGTTGTTTATTGTGATAACTGTTGTGTTGTGTATTATGATGTATGCTATGTTGTGTATTATGATGTATGCTATAATGTTTATTATGATAACTGTTGTGTTGTGTGTTATGATGATTGATGTGTTGTTTATTGTGATAACTGTTGCGTTGTGTGTTATGATGATTGATGTGTTGTTTATTGTGATAACTGTTGTGTTGTGTATTATGATGTATGCTATGTTGTGTATTATGATGTATGCTATGTTGTGTGTTATGATAACTGTTGTGTTGTGTGTTATGATGATTGATGTGTTGTTTATTGTGATAACTGTTGCGTTGTGTGTTATGATGATTGATGTGTTGTTTATTGTGATAACTGTTGTGTTGTGTGTTATGATGATTGATGTGTTGTGTATTATGATGTGTGCTGTGTTGTGTATTATGATAACCGTTGTGTTGTGTGTTATGATGTATGCTATGTTGTGTATTATGATAACTGTTGCGTTGTGTGTTATGATGACTGATGTGTTGTTTATTGTGATAAATGATGTGTTGTGTGTTATGATGATTGTTGTGTGTGTATGGTGATGAAAGTTGATTATGATGTATATTGTGTTGTGTGTTATGATGATTCATGTGTTGTGTATTGTGATAAATGTTGTGTTGTGTATTATGATAACTGTTGTGATGTGTATTATGATGTGTGCTGTGTTGTGTATTATGATAACTGTTGTGTTGTGTGTTATGATATATGCTATGTTGTGTATTATGATAACTGTTGTGTTGTGTGTTATGATGACTGTTGTGTTGTGTATTATGATGTATGCTATGTTGTGCATTATGATAAACGTTGTGTTGTGTGTTATGATGATTGATGTGTTGTTTATTGTGATAACTGTTGTGTTGTGTATTATGATGTATGCTATGTTGTGTATTATGATGTGCTATAATGTTTATTATGATAACTGTTGTGTTGTGTGTTATGATGATTGATGTGTTGTTTATTGTGATAACTGTTGCGTTGTGTGTTATGATGATTGATGTGTTGTTTATTGTGATAACTGTTGCGTTGTGTGTTATGTGTTGTGTGTTTATTGTGATAACTGTTGTGTTGTGTGTTATGATGATTGATGTGTTGTGTATTATGATGTGTGCTGTGTTGTGTATTATGATAACCGTTGTGTTGTGTGTTATGATGTATGCTATGTTGTGTATTATGATAACTGTTGTGTTGTGTGTTATGATGACTGATGTGTTGTTTATTGTGATAAATGATGTGTTGTGTGTGATGATTGTTGTGTGTGTATGGTGATGAAAGTTGATTATGATGTATATTGTGTTGTGTGTTATGATGATTCATGTGTTGTGTATTGTGATAACTGTTGTGTTGTGTGTTATGATGACTGTTGTGTTGTGTATTAGGATGTATGCTGTGTTGTGTATTATGATAACTGTTGTGTTGTGCATTATGATGTATGCTATGTTGTGTATTATGATAACTGTTGTGTTGTGTGTGATGATGACTGTTGTGTTGTGTGTTATGATGATTGATGTGTTGTGCATTATGATAAATGGTGTGTTATGTATTATGATAGCTGTTGTGTTGTGTGTTATGATGACTGTTGTGTTGTGTATTATGATGTATGCTATGTTGTGTATTATGATAACTGTTGTGTTGTGTGTTATGATGACTGTTGTGTATTATGATGTATACTATAATGTATATTATGATAACTGTTGTGTTGTGTGTTATGATGATTGATGTGTTGTTTATTGTGATAACTGTTGTGTTGTGTGTGATGATGACTGTTGTGTTGTGTATTATGATGTATGCTATAATGTTTATTATGATAGCTGTTGTGATGTGTATTATGATGTATGCTGTGTTGTGTATTATGATAACCGTTGTGTTGTGTGTTATGATGACTGTTGTGTTGTGTATTATGACTGTTGTGTTGTGTGTATGCTGTGTTGTGTATTATGATAACTGTTGTGTTTTGCATTATGATGTATGCTATGTTGTGTATTATGATAACTGTTGTGTTGTGTGTTATGATGATTGATGTATTGTTTATTGTGATAAATGTTGTATTGTGTATTATGATAAGTGTTGTGTTATGTATTGTAGTGACTGTCGTGTTGTGTATTATGATGATTGTCAAGTGATGAAACATGATGACTGTTTTTTTTTTATTATCATGAATGTTGTGTTGTTAATCATGGTGTATTGTATGTTATATTTTCTGTTGATTGTTTTGTTGTGTATTATTGTGAATGTTGTGTTTTATTGTGTACCGTGGTTATGTATGATCTATCGTGGTTATTGTGTTGTGTATTATGATGACTGTACGTTGTGTTATGATGCGTGTTGTAATATGTGACTGTTATGTTGTGTGATGATTTCATGGCTTGTTTGTAATGTACATATATTGTATTTCAAAGCTTAATTTTGAAGATATCATTTTAATGTTATACAACATTTCTTTAAAAGTTTAAAATGTGAACGTCGCCGCTTGCAACCTCGCGTATAATAATATTATCCAAAGAGTTGTCGTTCCTTAGTCACATTCCTACAATTTATACAGGTCCAAAAGGCCCCCAACCGGGGTTTTAGTAATTCTAAGAATTTCCCCTTTAAAACGGAACTGCATGTCGAATTACCTACCAAAAAACATACATATATTATTATCAGTATAGTTACAATATTCTATAAATATACAGTCCTCTCTTGATTTCTTTAGAACGTTTACGTCATGTGCCAATTACTTTTCAATTTGAGTAAACCGATGCGTTTCATATAAAGTTTGCAAAATGGAAAAACCCATTCAATATGGCCGCCGATTAGAGCGGACGAAGTCACGAAAGTATGGTTCTCTTGTTAAGCACGATATGCGTCTAATCAGTGATACAATCCTTTTCTATTTCCCCTAATATTCTTCCTATGGTACACATTTAAAAAGTTGTCACTGATTTTAATCTTGCTTTAGACCTTCGCTCGTTCATTACCATGTTGTTAACAGGCGATGAACGCTATTGAAGGAGGTAGTGCGGTACATAGAGGTCTCCTACTTGGATTAATACTTCCTCGACTATTACAGGTTTATGTTACTATCCAAGTCTATTGAAGTTTTCACACTTTAATGATGGAGATACGTTCAGACACACCTAGCTTACAATCACAGAGCTCTTTTCAGAGTATGTAGTATTTATTCTGAGCACGATCTTGGATGCAGATCCATATTTAAGTTCGAGTACTAATATTAATAGCCGGCATCCTCATAACACCATGTACGAAATTCGTAATGTTACCAGAGCTACAGCATTGGGACTATCTAAGTCAAATACCTCGGACTGCTGAAGAAGCAAAACGTATCGGTATTTATACTTAACTGATCAACATGGAAAGACGAAGATAACATCAGGTGTACAGTGTATATGTGGCGAGATACAAAATTAGCTTATGATAGATGAATTGGTATAAAACTGAATAAAGTTTGTCTTCCTGTAATAAATCAGCACCTCGTATATTCAATGTAAAGGAGTCGTGCTAAAGGCAATACTAATGTGCTAGTAGGTCTTCAAATCCAGAAACTCAGAACGTTTGACTGGACAATTGACCTATCGGTATCTGGTGATAGTCATCACCTAAGTGACCTAAAAATTAAGTGACAATGTAGTTATGGCAACTAGCATGTAACTTAAGTTTACATTGACAGATTTTATTAAAAATTATCGATCTAAATGAGAGATATGTCTTGACCCATCATCTGAGAGCCCCCATCCCAAATGTAGACAGAGATGGAATATACATGTACACTGAGTTAAACCTGGAATCTCAAAATGGCTGATACTCTGATTAGCAATGATTTAGTCACCAGCTAGTCATCAATAGTTGACAACATTAAAGCATAGTTCACATATGGCGTACCACTGCACATTCTTTTTGATAATATAAACAATCTGTTTGTCTTGTGTATTATGTATTATTTTCATGTGTTTCAAACTTACATATTTTAACATGATCATTTATAATTGTGTTACTATGCAATTTCAGTTAACACATAATTCACCTCATTTGCAATTGTTTGAATCCTCTTGTCACCACCATAGTATTGATCTCTTTGAAGAAATGCTGTATCCCTGGTTCATCACAATCTGTACATTTAATCTTTTGTATTATTACATTGAACATTATTAACATTTGAGAAACTTGATCTGTTAAAAGTGAGTAAGATTGACATGTTCAACAGTGAAAAGACATGATTAAACAGGATTATATAATGCATCTTTACTTTTCTTCCCTCAACAGAGTTTGGGATGTAGCTGGTTGTGAAACGATGTAGCTGAATATTTCAGTGCTGCTGGTGGGAAGTTTGACAGTATGGGTGTGGTGTCCATGTGTAAGTCAGCTGTTTACAGCCTGCTGACCGCAACATGTAGCCTGTTGTGGCTTGCAAAACAGGCTGATGCCTCTTACGGAGATCGCTCTTATGTGTTTCAGCGATGCATTTACAGCTGTGTGCAGCATAACTGTACAAGTTCGCAGGCTCTTTCACAATTCACAACTGCCCAACCCTGGCACCAGTGGGCACTCAGATGGACATGTGAGGACGAATGTGGTTATATCTGTATGTGGACCACAGTTGATGCCTTCCAAAAGGATGGTATTGGAATACCACACTTTTATGGAAAGGTCAGTACTGTTCCTGTCACAAAGCAATACAACAAAATAGCAGGGTTATTTTGAAGATAGTAAAGAATACTTTTACCGATAAATGCATCAAAGATCATTTGATTTTCAGATTGAAATTATGTATCATGAAATTCTTTATATATTCATACAATTGTTTTTTTGTAGTGGCCATTCATCAGATTGTTTGGAATGCAAGAGCCTGCTTCAGTACTTTTTTCCATACTAAATGGGCTGTTCCACTTGCGCATCCTGACATACAGACGGCTGGTGCCATCTTCAGTGCCTATGTATCATGTATGGCAGTGTGTTGCAGTGGTAAGTACACTTAAGCTCAGACATAACAAATTACAAAACAGTTATTCTGTCAGCAAAGCCATGACAAAAAAAGTGAATCAGAAGCAGGTAATCAAGTAAACTGCTGGTTATCACACAAAACAGATACAGGCTGCTAAGTCAATACCGAGAATGTGTTATACAACCAAGCGAAGCAGGCAATGAGTGTCGGGTAATACAGCATTTTTAATTGTGTAGAGAATGACATAACAAATTAAGACCATCACAGGTAATGTAATCATCGGTCAAAGTCAAAGGTATCTGAGAACTGTTTTGGCCATAGAAAATAATCAATTATGATGTGAATTGACGCAGGAGCATTCCTAAGGGTGCAATAACTGATTAGGAACAAAATACAGTCATGTACCTAGAGCCATATTTTAGTGGTTGAAGCCAGATAGAGCAGAGTGAATCTAGAGTGTAAACCAAGGGATTGAGGAATAGTGAACTTAGGTAGTAGACCTACTGCTTGACTATAACAACAGACTACTGACAAACTCAACCCAAAAATAAACCCCAACTCGACTACAAAATGAACTGTGAGTTGTACCATGATACAAACTAAGCAAAACAAGTAGAAAAAAAGTGGACAGAAATTTTATAGGTTATGATTGATTATTAAAGTAAAAGTTTGTCAATATTCTAACATCAGTTTCACCTTTCAATGTTGTAGATTTCAATGCATACATGGTTTTGGTCAACAGTATTTCATGCCCGAGACACACCCTTAACAGAAGTAAGTATCATAATGTACAAGTCTTCAGATTGCTTATCCAGCATGATCGTCTGAATCATATTTCTGTAATAGAAATTTGTTGCTGATTGATTAGTATGATGAAACTTTGATGGTGACATGTAATTAATGGTATAGTTTAAGCTTGATGGAATAATTAATGATTTACAATTTCGTACCATTTGATATGACATTAGCCAGAGGACCAATTTGAGTATTTGCCTTTAATGCCTAGATCATTGTCAGTTATTTTCTGTTAAATAAACATTGTTAGATTCAGCACATGACAAATAAAAGACCTGACAAACAAGAGAGGAAAAGTGAGGATATATTGATATTATTTCTGGTATTCCTTTGTGTTTTGTTACAGATGATGGACTACTTCAGTGCCTTTTCCCTCGTCCTGTCCAACCTTTTCTGCCTGTGTTGTAGGTATGTACCCTGGTGTCACTCTTTTCCTGATATTTGTGTTGTGCACTTTGGATGCAAATGATGCTAGTCAACTTATCTAGATTTACGTACAAATAAATGTGAGTGATAAAACAAAAACAAAAAATAAACAAATACCCTAAATGGAGTAACTTTCCCATTAGACTGTAATTATGGTATAATAAGATATTTCACTGACTAGTATAACACACAAATACCAAATGTTACAGTTGGGCATTGACATATACTGTAAAAACTTATTCCCTTGGTGAATATAGTGTAAATTGAGGTCTATGGACAGTTATTTTTTTTCTCTAATCTTAAATTATGTTGAACATAATGAAAGTATTGTAAAAAGTATTGATGTAATTGACAGGGTCCTAGGTACAGATCGTCCCCTCCGTCCAGCTCTATGTGGTGTAGTACTACTGGGTTTGTTCATCCAGCATACCTACTACCTCAGTATGATCAAGTTTGACTATGGTTACAACATGAAGGTTAACGTGACTGTAGGTAAGATACAGTGTTTTAATAGTTAACGTGACTGTAGGTAAGATAAAGGGTTATAATGGTTAACATGCCTGTAGGTAACAGTGTTATAATAGTTAACATGCCTGTAGGTAACAGTGTTATAATAGTTAACATGACTGTAGGTAAGATACAGTGTTATAATGGTTAACATGACTGTAGGTAAGATACAGTGTTATAATGGTTAACATGACTGTAGATAAGATACTGTGTTACAATGGTTAACATGACTGTAGGTAACACAGTGTTATAATGGTTAACATGACTGTAGGTAAGATACAGTGTTACAATGGTTAACATGACTGTAGATAAGATACTGTGTTACAATGGTTAACATGACTGTAGGTAACACAGTGTTATAATGGTTAACATGACTGTAGATAAGATACTGTGTTATAATGGTTAATGTGACTGTAGGTAAGATACTGTGTTATAATGGTTAACATGACTGTAGGTAAGATACAGTGTTATAATGGTTAACATGACTGTAGGTAAGATACTGTGTTATAATGGTTAATGTGACTGTAGGTAAGATACTGTGTTATAATGGTTAACATGACTGTAGGTAAGATACTGTGTTATAATGGTTAACATGACTGTAGGTAAGATACAGTGTTATAATGGTTAACATGACTGTAGGTAAGATACTGTGTTATAATGGTTAACATGACTGTAGGTAAGATACTGTGTTATAATGGTTAACATGACTGTAGGTAAGATACTGTGGTATAATGGTTAACATGACTGTAGGTAACACAGTGTTATAATGGTTAACATGACTGTAGGTAAGATACAGTGTTATAATGGTTAACATGACTGTAGGTAAGATACAGTGTTATAATGGTTAACATGACTGTAGGTAAGATACAGTGTTATAATGGTTAACATGACTGTATAAGACTGTGTTATAATGGTTGTAGGTAAGATACAGTGTTATAATGGTTAACATGAGATACAGTGTTATAATGGTTAACATGACTGTAGGTAAGATACTGTGTTATAATGGTTAACATGACTGTAGGTAACACAGTGTTATAATGGTTAACATGACTGTAGGTAAGATACTGTGTTATAATGGTTAACATGACTGTAGGTAAGATACTGTGTTATAATGGTTAACATGACTGTAGGTAAGATACTGTGTTATAATGGTTAACATGACTGTAGGTAAGATACTGTGTTATAATGGTTAACATGACTGTAGGTAAGATACTGTGTTATAATGGTTAACATGACTGTAGGTAAGATACAGTGTTATAATGGTTAACATGACTGTAGGTAAGATACAGTGTTATAATGGTTAACATGACTGTAGGTAAGATACAGTGTTATAATGGTTAACATGACTGTAGGTAACAGTGTTATAATGGTTAACATGACTGTAGGTAACAGTGTTATAATGGTTAACATGACTGTAGGTAAGATACAGTGTTATAATGGTTAACATGACTGTAGGTAACACAGTGTTATAATGGTTAACATGACTGTAGGTAAGATACTGTGTTATAATGGTTAACATGACTGTAGGTAACACAGTGTTATAATGGTTAACATGATACTGTGGTAATGGTTAACATACTGTGTTATAATGGTTTAAGATACTACAGTGTTATAATGGTTAACATGACTGTAGGTAAGATACTGTGTTATAATGGTTAACATGACTGTAGGTAAGATACTGTGTTATAATGGTTAACATGACTGTAGGTAACACAGTGTTATAATGGTTAACATGACTGTAGGTAAGATACAGTGTTATAATGGTTAACATGACTGTAGATAAGATACAGTGTTATAATGGTTAACATGAATGTAGGTAACAGTGTTATAATGGTTAACATGACTGTAGGTAACAGTGTTATAATGGTTAACATGACTGTAGGTAACAGTGTTATAATGGTTAACATGACTGTAGGTAAGATACAGTGTTATAATGGTTAACATGACTGTAGGTAACAATGTTATAATGGTTAACGTGACTGTAGTTAGATACAGTGTTATAATGGTTAACATGACTGTAGGTAACACAGTGTTATAATGGTTAACATGACTGTAGATAAGATACAGTGTTATAATGGTTAACATGACTGTAGGTAAGATACTGTGGTATAATGGTTAACATGACTGTAGGTGAGATACTGTGTTATAATGGTTAATGTGACTAGATAAGATACAGTGTTATAATGGTTAACATGACTGTAGGTAAGATACTGTGGTATAATGGTTAACATGACTGTAGGCAAGATACAGTGTTATAATGGTTAACATGACTGTAGGTAAGATACTGTGGTATAATGGTTAACATAACTGTAGATAAGATACAGTGTTATAATGGTTAACATGACTGTAGGTAAGATTCAGTTACTGAAATGGTTACAACATATTATGATGAGTGAAAACATGGTTCATCTCCAACAATTTCTCTTGACTTTGAAGGTTCTGTAAACCTGGTGGGCTGGATGATATGGTGTTGTTATCACAAACAACGTTATGTTTGGAAGTGTGCCACTGTCGTCGTTGGGCTCAACGTATTCCTGGCCCTTGAACTGGGAGAGTTTTCGCCTGTGTTCTGGGTGTTTGATGCTCACTCCCTCTGGCATGCCAGTACATTCCCTCTGTGTTATCTTTGGTACAGGTATGCAGTGTCAATCAATCAGTGATCAATATTTATTGAAGATTAAAAAAAATTATCATCTATGGTACCATGAAACTTAATTCTGTTCAAAATACTCTAATTTTGGCACACAGAAATAGTTGTTCCAAGGTAACTGTATTACACTCAATAATAAATGTTAAATACATTTATTTTATTTGGTTTATTATACATAAATATGAACAATAAAAAAGAAAATTTATTTCGAAATGAACAAGTTTAACCAAATGTTGAATAGCTTCATTTACGTAACAGAGTAACAAGACAATACGGTCATGTAAATGATGATGTCTGGAAATTACCATTACATGTAATTTGAATGGAGATTTTAGAAAGTAGTGGTGTGTAAGGAATACATTGATATATCCTATCAGACTTTTTTTTACAAACCAAAAGATGTACAAAATATTCTGCTTTTGTTGTTTAGGTTTTGAGATTTCAGTTAATATGTTTATACAATATTACGTGTTTTGAGCAGATTTACTTCTTTGCAAAACATCATTATCATTTTGGGATATAGATACGGAAATGGAGTTTTCAGAATTTAAGAATCATATTGTTATCCTTACGTCCTTTTTATGGTTTCCCTCTTTTTATTTTGTAGTTTTCTCATTGATGATGGCGTGTACCTATCAAATCTACAAACCAAGGACAAGATTTGGTGATTTGGGATGGATGTATACACATGGCCGAAAGAAATACTACTGTTTGGACCATGACACATTCCAGATACAGCCAATGCTTAATTGTTGAGCTTTGATAACACCTCATAATTATGAATGATATAGACAGTGGTTACAAAATACTCTTTGTGATTTCAAGATGGCTCACGATGAAAAAATCAACGAAAAAAGTGACTTTTAAAGTACCCATGTCAATTTCAATGGCAAACGGTGGGTACATTCTATGAACTCAACTACAGGTATTAAACTTTTTCGAGAATACCTCATTTTTGGCATAAGGAAGTGATAGTGAAGGTTCTTTCTTCAGCTTCAAGTAGAAGATTTTCACAGTAACTACTACTTATCAATAGAGTGATTTGTGATTATTTAGTCTTGTGATATGATCATGTGATTCAGATTTTATTGGAAAATGTTTGACATTAGTACCAAAGTGCTGTTACCCATATCATTGTAGGTAGTACTCATCATGTTATACACTTTGTATATGCATGTAATAGTTTCAGGTAAAAAGCTAGAAGTCATGTAGTTACTGTTATATAACAGATTCATGAAGAAGCGCATCTTACTTTATAAGATGTCAACTTCCATAATTTGCAAGTGGGGGGAGGGGGCTGGGGGTGGAAGTGGGGGGTGGGGGGTTGATTTGAAAAAACATCTAGTCAGACCATTTAAAATTTCATCACAATGCCCAACATTACAACATAGATGTTTAATATGAGATACACAAATAGTTTTAACAATTAGCAGAAAAAGGAAAGGTAATCAGGTATTGTACATTAAGTTCAATGTTTATTTCAGAGTGGTTGGACTAAAAGTAAGAAGCATATTTTATGTGATGCAAATGTTTGTATAGGTTTGAAAATGATTTGAGGGAAGTTGATGTTGGTTTTAATTGAAAAAATTATATGATGATATTCTTTGATTTCTTATTTTATTGATTTATGCACATTAGTCAGCCACAATTGCAAAAAAATACCTTTATTTTACAATTAAGCTAGTTTCATTGTTGATGAAATTTAGTTCAATTATGCAGTTATTTAGAAAGTGGAAATGATAGATTTCGTTTTTGAGTTATGAGTGATGTTTTTGCAGTAACAGAGGTAGAGGTATAACATATTTGTCAGTGGTAAACTTCTATTACTGACAGTGATGTGTGTTTATAACTAATCAGAATTGTCAATGATTGAGAGTAGGTTTTAATTCAATTATTTATGTGCAAGTTGTGAGAAAGAGTACAAAAATAATGCCTGTATTTACAAGGCTGTTAAGTTGATGTGAAACATCACCATAAAGTGTGGAAATGTTTGTATCTACCCAGATCTCTACAATATTTATATCATTATTGTAATGGAGATAGGCCCCACAGTTCTTTGATTGTTTTGCAAAAGTTGGTTGTCTGAGGCATTTTGTGCCAGCTGGACTCGTTGAAAAAATAGCTATACAGCCTACTAATATAGTCAACATAATCTGTTAGTCTTTGTATTAGTGTCTAGTTATATGAAAATATGAATTCTGTTATGAATATAAAGATTTATAAATTTTATAAAACAGTTCATTATTGTTTGTGTTGTGATATTAATGCATTTCTAATTTCATTAATGAAAAATTGAAACTTCAAAAATGTTTTAGGGTGTACTCTCCTGATGTTTGATAGGAAGTAGGACACAATTCAGTGTAAATGTAATTCTTAAATAATATCTTGGATTTGTGTGTTTAATTTGTTATCCATAGTTGTACATGTACTTATGAGGTATGTACTTTCTCAGACTCTAATGTTTGAAAGAAATTTTGTCTATGGACTACACTTTTTTGATGACTTAATTGACAGTGTGATCATGTTAATACAGTGTAGTATCAACATTTTACTTTTCTTGATTATAATCCTGGAAATCTTAAGCAGATTTCAAGTGAATTTTCCATGATTTATCACCACAAATCACAGATTTCAAAAGCAAAAATTTGGAAAAAGTTGGACCTTTGCCTTCTTTCTCTCTTCCTTCTTTATTATGAAATTTGAGAATAATCCAGTCAGTTCCTCTTAAGAAATAGTGATAATAATATCACTCCAAATGGTTGCCTGCCAGCCATTTCATTTTGTTGATCAGGTTCAAAATGTGTAACCTACAACTAAGCCAGGGACCAAGTAAAAACATTGAAATAAAATTTGAAAATTCATCCAGTGCTTCTCGAGAAATACTAAAACAATATAGCACGTGTCAAAATCCAGGATGGTCAGCTGTTAGCCATTTCCCCCCATCAGTCTCAAAGTAGAAAATAACCAAGGGAAATAGCATAAAGAATTATATCACCTAAATACACTGTAAGTAATGACAAACTTCATTTTTGTCAAAATTCAAGAACCGGTAGTCAAGATGGCTGCTTCCTAGTTTTCTTAATCATTTTCAAAATAAAAAGAGCACTTCCAGGGACAAAGGTGAACCTACATTATGTACAGAGGAATTCTTGTCAAGAAACTGTGATAAGAATTGTTTAAGGACATAGGGAGGCAGAGAATATAGGAACGGTGACTTGAAAGGCCCACCACCAAAATGATGGGCTAAAAATACCACAAATATTGATGCTCCAATATATCATAGGATATACTGACACTATACAATTATGACAAACTTTATTTTCATTTTTTTGTTTGTTTTTAATTCCTTCATGATTCAACAGCAGTAAAATATACATGACATATTTTTGTATATGATTATCTATATCACAGATACGTTAAATAAAATAGAGACAGCCTTTCAAATTGGCTCAAATGTCAATTGATAAAGTGCTAAGGGATGTGGATAATACAGTGTGAATTTGTCTCTGTAGACCAGTTGGAGAAAAAGTAGCTGAGAACCCGGCACTTGGTCGGTTTATTTGGTCAAGTTTGATAGCTGTGTGTATTAAAACATACAACATTTAGCACTGAAAATAATGGATAACTTACTGAAAAAATTAAAACTTAGAAATAACAAGTAAATCGTTGAGAGAAACTGCTATTGACAATATAGTTCTCCCTTAATGCTGTCTTAGAAATGTTTATCAGCTGGAAGAGTGTGAGAAGTGACAAGGAGGTTGAGTGGTGTTGATATCTAGTAATAAGGATAATTTTGGACTTAATGTGCTGACTGATGGATGTGTTATTAGGTTAGACATAAAGAATAAGTCTCTCCACTGGAAAAACAGTTACAACACGTTGGAGAAGGCCCACTCTCTCATTATATACAGGGCTCCTAAGGGTATCCCCATTCACAAGTCCTGCAGTTTTTTTAATTTTCCAAAGTTCAGGATATAAAAATCAATGATTTAATACATATTTGCACACATGTAGACTCCACTTCCATGGTGTACTCCGCGACAGTCACAGCATGTTTTAATTTTCTTCTGCTTCGATTACGAAATGCCACATTTCGAAATAATATATTTTCTTCGACTTTAAATTCCATAGTTACTTTATGAAGTTGTTATTGCCTACCACACAAATCCAAGACGTTTCTTTGAGCCACTTTTGCCATAAATGTTTGTTTTGGTTTCATCTGTTGTATCACGTTGGTAGTGTGGCATCTGTTTACCCGATTTGTCAGACACCATATAGCTAGGTCGGATGCCACCCTTTCCATTGAAGATTGGCCCACTGCCACCTCCAGCCCCAGTTTGTGCTGCTTTACGTAGTGGGTACACATTGCGCCCCCCGCGCTCACAGTGCTCAATGACTTTACCGGCATACTCCTGGAACTGATCTTCTTCGATCTTGAGCAGCTCCATGTTGGCTTTGTCCAGCATCAGGGCCTGTTGCTGTGTGTCACGTGCCTTGTTTATCCTCTCCTCCTGCAGAAGAAGATAATCAAGATAAGACATTTGATCTTCCACTAATTCTGACATTTGCCTCACCCCAGAAGCAAGGCCTTGACATCAGTCCCTTCCTCAGGAATTAGGCCCCAGGCATCAACTCCTCCCCAGAAACAAGGCTCTGACATCAAACCCTCCCCTAATGCAAGACTCTTGCGTAGGCACTTTGTCAGAAATGATTCCTAAATACCAGCTCCTCTCCAGAAACAAGAACCTGACATCAGCTCCTCTCCAGAAACAAGAACCTGACATCAGCTCCTCTCCAGAAACAAGAGTCTGATATCAGCTCCTCTCCAGAAACAAGAATCTGATATCAGCTCCTCTCCAGAAACAAGGACCTGATATCAGTTCCTCTCCAGAAACAAGAACCTGATATCAGCTCCTCTCCAGAAACAAGAACCTGATATCAGCTTTTTTTTTTATCCAGAAACAAGAACCTGATATCAGCTCCTCTCCAGAAACAAGAACCTGATATCAGCTTTTTTTATCTAGAAACTTGGTCATGACATCTACCCATGACACTTGGTTCATAAAGCAGCCCCTCCCTAGCAACCAGGATATCACATTATTCCTTCCCAAGAAGTGAGGTTCTGACATCTGCTTTTCCCCCAGAACCTGGAATCTGATATCTGCCCTAACCCAGTAACTAGGTTCTGACATCTGTCCTGCCCAAGAAACTAGGTTCTGACATCTTCCCTAGTAACTAGAATCTGACAAATGCCCTTCCTCAGTTACTCGGTTCTGACATCTGCCCTCCCCTAGCAACCAGATTCTGACATCTGTCCTGCCCTAGAAACTAGGTTTTGACATCTTCCCCAGTAACTAGAACCTGATATCTGCCCTGACCCAGTAACTAGGTTCTGACATCTGCCCATTCCCAGTAACTAGAATCTGATATCTGCCCTAACCCAGCAACTAGGTTCTGATATCTGCTCTTCCCTAGCAACCAGATTCTGACATCTGTCCTGCCCTTAGGTTCAGAAAAAAATCAGTAGCCCAATCTTTACTTAAAACAATGAATGGCTCCTAGATGGCTGATCAATGTAATCCACTTACAGCCTGAACGCGCTGGAAGTCCTTTAGCCCCATGGCCTCTTCCCGCTTTCTCACACGTTTCTCTTCCTCATTTCTTTCAAAGATTTCGTCGGCTGCCTTTCTGATACGAATTGTCTCCAGCTCCTGGCGACGTTCATCTTTCTTCTTTTGCTCTGCTTCCTTCATCTGGATAATGTAAAGAATCAATCACTTGTTATACAAAGAAAATCAATACTAACAAGAGATTCCGGAGGGATCTTGGTGCACACCGTTGTCTGATCTTTATTTGCTCCTGAAAAGTTGGACCTTTCCCTTCTTTTCTCTTCTCTATTTTTACTCTTGATAATAAGAAATTTGAACATTCCTTTGCAGAAATAGCAATGATAATCTTTACCTGCTAAACCCAAAATGGTTGCTTGGAAGTCATTTCGGCTTCTTATGATCAGTCCCAAAATCAAACAGGCATAAGTAGAGACCAAAGGGAACATACGTATGAAATTTGAGAGTTCCATTTAGTACTTCTTAAGAAACAGGGATAACAGTATTTTCTAATCAAAATCCAAGATAGACGCCTGTTGACCATTTTTTTTTCCTGATCAGTCTCAAACACACAGGAACAACTAGGAACCAAGAGGAACCTATACAAGGAATTTGAGATCTATAGTGTAGTTCTCAAGAAATAATGATAACAAACTTGCAAAGTCAAAATCCAACATGACCACCTGTCAGCCATTTTCTTTTTCTGATCAGACCCAAAATCAAATGGGCACAACTAGGGATTTAGGGGAACCAACAAATGAAATTTAAGAAAGATCCATCCAGCACTTCTAAAGATATAGCGATAACAATATTGCAAAGTCAAATTCCAAGATGGCTGTCTGTTGTCAATTTTGTTTCTTCTGATCAGTCCCAAAATTGGATAACCCTAACTACAGACCAATGAGAACCTACTTATGAAATTTTTGTGAAATCCATCGACTGTTTTTCAAGAAAAGGAGATAACAAACTTCATTGAAAAAATCCAGGATGGCCACCTGTTAGCCATTTTTTTTGTGATCAGTGCCAAACGGGCACAACAAGGGACCAATTATCATCATAATTAAGTGAATCACACTAATCAAGTGAAATGTTAACAGATCTTAGTTCAATGGAATAGTGTTGATAATTATTATGAACTCTATCTAAATCAGGTGTCACTTTGACCACTGAAGAACCATACTGTGACATGATGGAATAGATATGACAGTGATGTGACCTACCTGTCCATCACGATGTTCTGCAGCCTCTGTCATCATCTTTCGAAGCTTTGCCTCCTTTGAGGCCTCCTCTGCAGCACGTTTCTCCTCTGCCTCTTCAACTGCTCTTCGAATCCTATCATCCTCATCGCTAACCTTTTGCTTCATTTGGGCACCAAGCTTCTCCCGAATCTTCTCCAGGTGGCGTTGCTTCTCTCTGGTGAATATGCCAAATGATGTTAATAAATTTTTGTCTGATTAATATTAAAAATATTAACTAAGTCAGATGACATGATAACATATACTACAAAACAATTCATGATATAATGACTTACGTGTGAATTTCTGATTCTTTTTCTGCTCTCAATTTCATCATCTTTCTCTTGGCTGCTGCAAAGATACGACACTCCTCATCTTCTTCCTGTGATAATGAAGGTGAAAACATTGTAAAAGTAAAATTTATCTTTACATTCAGTCTCTTATAATAACATCTTCACTGCAAAAAGAACGATTATTACAATGTTTCACACATAGCTGTATCTATAGGTTTGAATGGATAACTACCCCTTACCTCCTCCTGTTTATCACTGTGACTGTAACTATAGATCAGACTGGAGAACCACCCCTTACCTCCTCCTGTTTATCACTGACACTGTAACTATAGATCAGACTGGAGAACCACCCCTTACCTCCTTCTGTTTATCACTGACACTGTAACTATAGATCAGACTGGAGAACCACCCCTTACCTCCTCCTGTTTATCACTGACACTGTAACTATAGATCAGACTGGAGAACCACCCCTTACCTCCTCCTGTCTATCTCTGACACTGTAACTATAGATCAGACTGGAGAACTACCCCTTACCTCCTCCTGTCTATCTCTGACACTGTAACTATAGATCAGACTGGAGAACCACCCCTTACCTCCTCCTGTTTATCACTGACACTGTAACTATAGATCAGACTGGAGAACCACCCCTTACCTCCTCCTGTCTATCTCTGACACTGTAACTATAGATCAGACTGGAGAACTACCCCTTACCTCCTCCTGTCTATCTCTGACACTGTAACTATAGATCAGACTGGAGAACCACCCCTTACCTCCTCCTGTTTATCACTGACACTGTAACTATAGATCAGACTGGAGAACTACCCCTTACCTCCTCCTGTTTATCACTGACACTGTAACTATAGATCAGACTGGAGAACCACCCCTTACCTCCTTCTGTTTATCACTGACACTGTAACTATAGATCAGACTGGAGAACTACCCCTTACCTCCTCCTGTTTATCACTGACACTGTAACTATAGATCAGACTGGAGAACCACCCCTTACCTCCTCCTGTCTATCACTGACACTGTAACTATAGATCAGACTGGAGAACTACCCCTTACCTCCTCCTGTTGGATCTGTATTTGTTTCATTCTCTTGATGCTTTCAATCTGTGCCATGTTGTCTTTCAGCAGCTGTGCTTTCTCATCCTTCCTGATGGACTCAAGATGTTCCTTCTCTACATGGTACTGAGATGCCAGCTTCTTCAGCTCCTGTCCTTCAAGATGATCCTCAACCACCATTTTGTCTTTGTTTTTCATGTGCTCTCCTACCCTGTACATAACAACAGCAAAACATGACAAATGCCCCAACAAAATGGGATCTGAAAGACAACCCTCAAAGAATACTGATTATGACACTAGCTTGAGTGTTATACGTAAATAACATGAGAACTAGAAATGTGAATATTGTGTACAAAAACATACTGTGACATCTGGAATTGTGCTGTATGTTTTGCAGCTTGGATTCTTTCCATGGCTTTATGTTGATCTGCCTGTATTGCTTCATCATATTCACGCTGGGCCCGTTTCAAGTATTCAATGTCCTGACCCTCATTGGCCTTCTGTTTCAGTTTTTTCAGCTCAATCTGAGCTTCTCTTTCCTTCAGGACCTCTGTTAGCATGAGAGCACTCTGGGCAAATAGAAATAGTAGAATTCATATACTTGCATTGTCTGATGTTAGCAAAAGTTTGTAAATTGATCTAGCTAGATCTATAAAGAATTTCTGCAAATTAAATATTGGATGTTTGTTTAAATGGTAAATTGTGGTGCATGATTTCCGTAAGAAAATGATTTTGGACAGTTTCCTTCAAAAACATCCCTTGAAATCCTAGCTTGTGCAGGAAAGCCCTTTAATTTAGTTCATGGATGTATGTTGCACTACTTCAAGTCAAGAAACACTTGAAAATGATAATCATTACTAAACTTGGAGTTTGCATGGTATACATTACATAATTACATTCCACTGGTAATGAGAATTAGGTGTGACATTGTTCAAAATCATGGAAGTCAGAACCACACTTACCCAGTACAAGTAATTGATTTATTTAGCATTCTACCACTATAAGTGCTTGATTGTTATGATGAAAAATTATGAACTACAGGTCAGTATTTTAAGATAATGATACTTACATGGAAGGACTTGACTCTGTCAGTCTGATAGTATTGTTGGGTCTTGGCTTTCTCTATAGCCTCTTTGCGCTGCTGAGCCTGAAATTTGGCTTCCTCCAGGTCAATCTGTTGTCTCTCCTCCTCTTCCTTCTGTTCTCGCAATTTACGGGCTTCTAGTTTACGCTGTCTCTGTCCCTACACAATGAAGTTAAAAATTGTACAGTTCTAATTTCATCATAATGGGAGGCATTTTTTGTTATATAGTACATGTATATAATACTGTGTACAACAATATGATACAAATGCATTCTCAAATTTTCATTTAAATGATCCACAATTAACTGTTTCATACTTACTGCAATTGTGTTTCCCCAGTCTTTAATCATCTCATTTGATTTTTTCTGTTTTTCTTCTCTTTCTTCTCTGATTTTTCTTGTCCTCTCTTCTTCTATTTGCTTGCGATGAAGCTGCATTTGGATGCGGTCCCAATCCTCTTTTGACAGAACTGTGACCTGTCTAAGGTCAGTGCCATCAGCTAAATGCATGCCTTGTGTAAGACCATCTGTAGAAAATGGCAGCTCTTTCTTGCCTGAAAGGTAAGGTACTATCACAATAGAATAGGAAATGATAGATAGAAATGAAAATCCCAGGTCAAAATATTACAAAATTTTGTAAATTTTGTATTACAAATATCATAATGCTGTACATTTTCTTTACAAAAACACCACAGCTAGACCAGATTTTTTTTTTCTCATTTTATATCAAATTTCATCAAACATGTAGAATGCTTGCATATTAAAGAAACACTGTTAACATATACAGCAAAGCATTTTAAATGTATTCTGTAGCTTGCATGTGTTTACATGTTTTGACAAAAAGTAAATAATTGATTAATGAAGGTGCAGGCATTTGTTGGTTTATTGGCTTTGTTTCTTGCCTTGTGAACCACAAGGTTCATTTTGAGGTGGGCACAGGAAGGGAGCATTAAAACAATACACCTCATGTAAGCCTACATCCCACTGAATAAGTCATTACAGCCTCTTGAAAATGTTAATACAGATATATAAAGCAAGTAAAATATATCTTTCTTTTTATTGAGCAGGGTGCGTGGAATGTGGTCACTTATCCTTTCTTTTACATTAAAAACTGAGATTATAATGTACATGCATGTCTTAATACTAAAGTGATTTTCCCAGAAATTAGTGGTAGGATGTCTGCATAGATGGCAAGGTCCACTGTATCCAGCCATAGATGGGGCACTTCACATGTAAATCAGGTGTCACAATAATGTCAGAATTGGAACAGAAACACCTGTATATTTCACTATCAAAATCAAAGTTCTCCATTCATTACAAATAAGTACAATTATTTAGATATTTTCATGGTTTTGAGGGTATGATCTGACAATCCAGTCATGAATTATCTCTGTCTATGTCAAAGTATCAAGGCTGGGATTTTCACAGAATGCTTCAGACATCATAGATCACGAAAAGAGCTCAATTACGGGTATCTTGTACGCAGTAAAGTTAAGCTTATATCACCTTATCCGGGTAAGAAAATAAAACCAGTCGAAACAATATTCATGTAAGCTCATAAAACACAGGTATGGTAATTCGTACTTTAAGTAGTTGGAAACAACATTGGAATTGAAAGAACGCAAATGAAATAAAACACGTGCATTCCACTCGAAAGCTAGAAATCCTCTCAACAAACATTAGTGTAGTCATACAAGTACGTTGTACAACTTATGTGTAACATAGATATTATTAACACATCAGATATATATACAGTACAAAATGGTTTGCTGTTTAAATCAAAAGGAAATATAATCGTATCACCAACGTTTGAAAAAGTAGAGGCTCCAGGGATATACAATGTACGCATTTTTACTTTTCATCGGTAGGGAAATAATTCATCATTGACCAAAATGGTGGCCGTGTCCTGTCTCGTGTTAAGCTTCAAAAGTACACTTGACGATATTTTTGTGAGTTTTGAAGATTATGAATGATTTAATTACCTTTGGCACTGCCTTTTCTTCGGCCATGCATGACAGTAGCCATTTCGTAGCCTTATGTTTCCAGCTGGAACGTCTTCAATCTTCAATATTTCCACGGGCTACATTGACTTCTAGCACTGTTGTCAAGGCAAACATCAGGAATTGTGACGTCACTTCCGTCCATACGTTCAAGAAAACGTCCTTGACCCTAATCGTAAACTTCCGACAGTATAGCTTGCAGGTCACGTTGAACATTATAAGCTGATCAGGTCTACAACGAATGATTCATAGACTTACGAAATTAATCAGTCGCCACCATAACACTAATATCAGTAAGGTATGTTATGTCACTGTTATACGTCGCAAATATTGGTTTAAATCATTGAATAGTTACTCAGAATGTAATAACGTGTCATGTGTTTTGTAACACAACATGTCTACTTGGAGTCGAGCTAGGTGTTTAGGAAGATACATGTAACTGAACATACCACCCTGTCTACAGAAAAAAGAGTTAATTTTCGTTTTCTGGCTATTAACAGCTGTGAAAAGTTGTAACATGCATTATTATTTGCCAGGACAGTTTTGGAGCTCCCTTGAACGGATGCCATTGTGTTCAATATGTGGGACGCTAAAGGTTTACCTTATATCTACCCAATATATGTTGGTCACAAAGTCTTAAATTCTCAATTTAAAATGTTCCTTGGTGGTCATCTTTAATTCAAATTCGTTTGAGAAAATATGCATAATTGATAAATGAGTATCATCTCATTTTGCTTTTTAAGGACCATATGAGCTCAGTGATGATGTAGTTTGCCTTCCGTGTTTATGGTAGTTATTATATAACCAAATGTTGATCTCTGTGTAAAGACATTGTTGATGTTCTGAAGTGTAAGACTTTCTTTCTCTGTCTATGATAGAGCAGTATCAGCTTGCATAACTAATAGTGAGATGTAAATTTACTCCTTTTTTATAGTACATATCATATAAACTAGTTTTATACTATGTTGTAGATGACTGGTCGATTGCTGCTAGCATTTGACTTTGATCATACAATGATTGAAGAGAACAGTGACTTGTGGGTGAAGAGACTTGCCCCAGGGGGGGTGCTTCCTCAGGAGATCGAGGACAAATACAGTGATGATGGCTGGACACATTATATGGGGACAATTTTTGAGTACCTCTATAACATAGGTGCGAGACAGCATGATATCCAGAAATGCCTCACAGAAATCCCTCTGACTAGTGGATTTAAACAGCTACTGGATTATGCACACAAACAGGGACATGATTGTATAATTATTTCTGATTCCAACTCATTCTTCATTCGATACATCCTAGAGTGCTACAATTTAGAAAATATTATTTCGAAAGTTTACACAAACCCAGCAGAGTTTGATAAAGAGGGTTGTCTGAAAATTGACCTCTACCACCATCAGGACTGGTGTAATCTCAGCACTGTGAACTTGTGTAAGGGCCATATTCTCACAGAACATATCAGGGAGCAGGCTGTACTTGGTCATACCTATAGTCGTGTGGTATATGTTGGGGATGGCTCCAATGACCTTTGCCCCGCCCTGACTTTGTCAGACAAGGATTATATCTGCCCAAGAGTAAATCTACGCCTTTGGAAGAAAGTAAATGCCATTCTCGCCGGTGATGAGAAGTTTAAAAAGTACAGTCTGAAAGCAAGAGTACTGGAATGGGAATCAGGAACAGAAATTTTGAAAATGATCAAAGAACTGGACTCGGAAGAAGTATGATTTTCCTTGTGGGATATTTCATTCAGTTACAAATCTAGACTTAATTTACCTACCATATGGAGCCTGCTGTGTAATCTATCGGATATGATTTTACATATAAGATTTTTGATTATCCACAGGGTTTTCCATTAAAGGACAGACTTACTTGGGATCCTAGATTGTCCAATAATGACAATAAGTGATGGTTACTGGGAATATCAGATTGTCCATCATATGACAGAAGTGATGGTTAGTGGGGGTATCAGATTGTTCATCATATGACAGAAATGATGGTTACTAGGGGTATCAGATTGTCCATCATATGACAGAAGTGATGGTTATTAAGGGTATCAGATTGTTCATTAAATGACAGAAGTGATGGTTACTAGGGATATCAGATTGTTTATCATATGAGAGAAGTGATTGTTCATTAAATGACAGAAGTGATGGTTACTAGGGATATCAGATTGTTCATTAAATGACAGAAGTGATGGTTACTAGGGATATCAGATTGTTCATTAAATGACAGAAGTCGGGGTTACTGAGGATATCAGATTTGTTAAACATTAGACTGGTAGTTTACAGGGTATCTAATAACATCTATTATATTTCAGAGGTGTTTGTGATGGCTACGTATACAAATCAATGTTGAAAAAAATGGCTCTTATGATTTGTCTGATTCATGTTTTAATTGCAATTTTGATTGATTTTTGAGAAAAATGTCGCAAGGAATTTTGTTTTCCTATTTATGAAGATTTCTTACCTTGTTAATTAATCTTATTTGACTGTTCATCAATAACTATCCTATGTTAATGTGTTAAAGTTGCCAGATAATTGTGTGAATGTTCCAATTCATTATTATTTTTTTGAACTCGTGATCGAGATTTGAAGATCGACCTGTGTTAATTGCAATTATAAAGAGCAATATGGTTTCAAGTCCACATATTCACTGCAATAAGTTAAACTGTGTATAGAGTTTGTTTGCATAGCTACACTCAATTGATATGGTTCACATAAGGATGTTCATAGGCAATGAGCACTCTGTACAGTTATTGATTTCTTACCAATGAAAAGCTGCAGCACCCATGTTAATTAGTCATTGTGTGATGAAAGTCCAAATGGACAGCCAGTGACATTAATGCCAGTTTATGTTTTTTGTTTATGATCAGTTACATGTATGGTATATAATACAAATTACTGAAACATTTTAATGTTGTTTCTCAAGTTTTCATATTACGAGTTTTAATTCAACTACTTTTGTCTTATCTGATTTTAAAATAATTCTAAATCTAGGTTTTTGACACAGTACTAAATCCTGTAATAGGACAGGGGATGTGGGAACATTTACTGGCAATCAATATTTCTAATATTCATTTGAGATCATTCACATGGTGGCCATTTCAGATTTCATATTGATGCAAGATACATTGTAATGATAAAATTGCTATTTTCCTCTGGTTTCATTGAAGCTTGCTTAGCTGTTACATTAGAAAGTTTCTAGAGCCACAAAATACTGTAACCTGATCCATTCTACTGTTTACTGCCTTCATTTGAGAAAATCAAAATTGATCAAAAGCAATGTAAAAAAACTGACAGGGAGGTGGAAATGTACTAATATCAAAATCAAATAAAGATGGGGTTTCAAAATGACCTAAAAAGCCAAAATATAACAGCTTGTATGTGCTGTTGTTAGCCTCTGTGCTCATACTTTTACAAATAGGCAATTAAGTCGAAACATGTACAAATGCAAGAATTTAGCACCCTTTTTGTAACCAAAATGAAAAAACAAATGAATGGTTTTGGGGGGGGAAATGCTTTGTCATATCTTCATTATTTTAAGAAAACTAAACATGAACATGCTGGTAATATTATGTTAGGTATCATATAGGCAAAGGAAGAAGTCACAGTTTTGAATACATTGGGAACAGGAGATAAAAATGTGATGGATTTTGAGAAAGAACATGCTCTTTTTACATTAAGTGAAATTTTCTGATAGTCAAAAATACAACTTCCTTTTGGAACCCAATGATCTTTGTGCTAAAAACATCTTCAAACATTATGAAATAAATTGCCCAAAAATAACAATTAGGGGTTTCTTACAAAGAAATTAAAATTTATTAGCAATACTGCTATGCATTTTTGTGTAAAGAAAGACAAAGGGGAAATCTGTTTTGGATTAAAGTATTGTAAAGTGAACTGAAATAAAATGTTAACACTTGTTCTATTAGTGCAAAGGGAGTATCACCTACACTAATATCCCACTAAAGTGAAATTTCAACTTTCAAAATGGCTGTCACGTTCCCTGATAACCACAAAAAAATTAAATGTTCTTACAACTGCTGAATCAATACTCTAATAAGAATGCTAAATGATAGCTTTATATTGGTATACAGATTAAACCACCTAATCTGGAATCAAATAAGGCTTCTTTGTCCCATAATCTGATTGGTCATGTCAGTATTGGTCTACAATGCACAGTAGTGTAGTTATAATTGTCCAAGTCGACCATACCCAATGCCTTGAAGATGACGGTTGGCAGGGAAATCTTCATAATTTGAGGTATGTCTTAAACCTTTTGACTTGTGGATGCAAAGGCTTACTGGTTTCGAAATGCATGAAGTATCCTAACTAGTACAGGATACTGGCTACATAGGCACATACCCCATGGTACTCTGTCCTGTAGGACACTGGCAATAATAATCTTTCATGGGATTAATGTTGTCAAAACTGTCGTGCTGGATCCAAACATTATACTTCATACTGCTCTTATGCCTTGAGTGTATATCCTTGACATTGTACAGTGTCTCATGAATGTGGATAGATCCAGATTTTGTTTTCACCACATCACAGAAATGCTCAGTTATGTAGCGAGCTGCCAATGATATTTGGAATGTGCCGCAGGATATTGTTGGCAGGTACGGTATTCCATTTCTAACTTAGGAAAGTCACAATTATCCGCATCTAGCCCTTCTGGTAAGATCTGGTTCATTTTTTACACACTGAGCTAAGTTGTTATGAACACTAAAGCACACTTTTATTTTGGCATCTAATGTGATATCCTTTGCATCTCACTCTCATGTTTAACATATATGCGTCCTTGGATCCCATTAACCTTAAGAACTAAGAGTCCACAAGCAGTGTCTACCACCTGCAGTATTGAAGATTGTCCATGACTTAAACAACAAAAGTGACCAGTCTCTCTGCTTGTACAACATCTTTAAAATGTTTAGCATTTTGAATCGAACAGCCATTATCACAATCCACAAGTTATTGCCTCTGTATAGGTATACTAGTACCATAACTTGGATTTTCCCCTTGGAATTGTCTGATTAGTATTGCCTTAATGTCCTGTTCTTTAAGTAGCTGACAGTTGTTATCCTCGAAACAGTTCTAGAGTCCTGCAAGCCGGTATTATTCCTTGATTAAAGATAAAAATAAATTTTGTTGCAGTGTTGCCATTCTGATCTCTTAACCTTAGTTATGGTATATCATCATTGTAATATGTATAATACTCTGTACTATGTTTTTATATTGATCAGTCTAGCTATGACTGGATTCGGTGTAGCTGTGTCAACTATGAGTCTTCATTTCTGGCAGAAATGTACAAAATGAAAGTCGGTGTAATCTGTGTTTTTTCTATTTCGTTGTCTATGTACGTAATGTCAAGCCCTATAGTAGCAGGCATATAGAATATATTCTTTACAAATGTTCTCTCCTTGTAGATTGTATTTTTAATGCATACTGAGGCAATATAAGATACATAGAAAAATGAAGGGTGATCCTACACTCCTCATGTGGAACTTTGCGGTGGTGTCCTTGGGTAGATCTGTATAGGATCAATATAGTTCCTTAACGAGAAAACATAATAAAGCAAAAAGGAAACTCAACACTATAAAGACGTTTTTTGGAATATGTCAAATATGACATATTCCACAATATGTCCTTGTATGTCAAATTTGACATATTCCACAAAACGTTCTTTACCTTATTAAGATACACATAACTTATCTGACATTACATTTTAGGGTCAGGTTTATTATATTACTGGAATACCAGACCCTAAGAACTGTGTTTCAAAACCAAATATGTGGTTCACTGGTGAAGGTGTGGTTTAAAAGAAAAGTTGTGGTTCACAACTGGAGCAATGGTTGACAACAGATGCTTGTGAACAACAGGCATGTGTGTTAAATAACAATGGACTTAATTCATGAAAAGTGTTATTTACAATTTACAGAAAGTATCATCCACAAAAGAAGGTGTGGATCGCAACAGGTGGTGTGGTTCACAATAGGGTGGCCCATAGCAGGTGTGGATCACGACAGGTGGTGTGGTTCACAACAGGGTTGGTCCATAGCAGGTGTGTTCACGACAGGTGGTGTGGTTCACAACAGGGTTGGTCTATAGCAGGTGTGAATCACGACAGGTGCTGTGGTTCACAACAGGGTGGCCCATAGCAGGTGTGAATTACGACAGGTGGTGTGGTTCAGTAGGTTTGGTCCATAGCAGGTCTGCTTCACAACAGGTGTGGTTCACAGCAGGTTCAGTCCACAATAAGTGTGGTTCACAGTTGAAGATGTGGTTCACAACAGAATGTTTATTTCACAACTACAGGTGTCATTTAAAAATTAAAAAAGAAAAAAAAAGGAAGGTTTGGTCGACAGCAGAAGGTATAAGGCACAACAGCTGAGATCCACAACAAGTGTAGTTTACAGGAGGTATGGTTCAAAAGATGTGTGGTCATATAGAGAATGTGTTGCCTTCAACAGAAGGTATGGTTCACAAGATGTGCGCTCATATAGAGAATGTGTTGCCTTCAACAGAAGGTATGGTTCACAAGATGTGCGCTCATATAGAGAATGTTTTGCCAACAACAAAAGGTATGGTTCACAAGATGTGCACTCATATAGAGAATGTGTTGCCTACAACAGAAGGTATACAACCATAGATATGGTTCACAAAGTACACATTGCAGCATAATCATAGTAAAGTTCAAAGCACAAATTGAATTTTTTTTTACTGGTTAAGTACTTTCAAAATGTTATTGTTGAAACAAAAAGAACAAAGAAATGGTTTTAGTTATTAAAATTTTAATGGCACTGATTCTATAAAACTGGTAGACTGGATTACTCCAGAATCCCAAGAATCAGTATTGTGTGTGAAGACGATTATCAATCAAATACATGTCATTAATAAAACTAATGAGGCAATCAATCACATAATATTTAAAAGACACTACAATTTACATATTGTATGACTTACAATGTTAGCAGTCATAAGTGCTTATCATTGATCATTAACATAGTTGTTGTCGAACTAGCATCCAGTGGTTCAGTGTCAGAAGATCTGTTGGTGAATTTAACATATGAAACGTTGCTACCTGCCCATCATTGTCATTTTTTTCTTTGACTACGGAAGTTTGGTTCCTTGATAAGAACACTCCCCATCCCCAGGGAAAAAAGAAAAATGTACCCACAAGTATTCACATGAATGAAATAAGACTGAACTTTTTTTCATATAAAAATATAATTGTTTTAAATCATAAAAGTAAACCAAACTACTAATGAAAATCTATTTAATTTTCTCTAGGAAAAGGATTAAATTTGACCTATGTGACAGTTCATTTCTAAGTGTATAGAGTATATCACCAAATGTATAGAATGTATCACAGATAAACGAGAAACAGGTAGTAAAATGTATACATCAAGATGATGGACGTATTCAGTTAAAAGGATACAACACCTTAAACAGCATAAATACACCTTTTTATGATGACAACACAAGAAAATTCTCAAGCGGCTGAATTTTTATATAAATAAAAAAACAAAAACAAGAAAATATGTTTTCTGTGTCTAGAATGGAACAACACTCCTTGTGCATGGAATTGTGTGATTAACTCACCAGGTGAAAAAAAAACTGTAGGCAAGAATCCACAACAGATTAACAATATTTATCCAGTGATAGACATAACTAACAATACATTTTACATGTAAAAGTAGGCTTAAAATTATGTGAAGATAAAGCATGCCTTAAATCATCCCCCAAACAAATTGCCAAAAATACTTGTTCCAAAGATTGTTTACCTGTAGTTTACTACTGAAATTTATTACTGATTTGATGGTTTACAATTGCATGTACAAAATTATGTATAATAGAATATTAGAGAATACATGTATATATAATATTAAAATATAAAGTGAGGCACATCATAATTCGTATGTAGAGATATGTTTTTTTAATAAAGAGTAAATTTGATTAGATTATAATGGAGAACAGACACTTATCACCAACCCAATAGATCATAAAACTGACCAATTACTGTATCTACAAATAGTATGTATATGCATATTGTATACAAAAAGTTAATTCTTTTTTTCATTTGATAAATTTTGTAGTAAGTGGTGTAGTTGACTATCTAGGCACTATAGAAATTCTTTTCAAAATGAATGTAGCTGTTCAATTATTTGATTTGTTCAATGCTAGTACAGTGTCATCAATTATATGGAAACTAAGGTGAGGTTTGCTAAATATCATCCATGGCTAGATTACGAAAGCAAATCACTGATCAGATCTTTGTGGAACAATGTAAACACAATGTAACATTTTGAACTAAAAACTAAAACAATATCTAAAACTCAAACCTGCATGTCCATCACAAGATCTGTCAATAGGACCATCAACCAGCATTAAACAATTGTACAATATCAACAGTCACTTCTCAACCAAATTTAACAAAAATAATGCTATAAAAAAATGAATTCGTGTTTACGAAATGCTCAAAGACAACAGTTGTTTCCTATCTAAATTGCAGCATTTTGGAAAGTGACATCAAAAGTTCTTGTATGAAAGGTCACCTTGACCTTGTGTGGAAGGCCCCACTATGACCATATGCTGAAAGTCACCTTTACTTTTCACTGGAAGGTATAATCACTTCCTTGGGACTCCTGCTTGTTGTGGGTAAGGAGAAGACTGTAATGAAATTGACACCACATACAATATTTAGATGACATGATATACAGACAAGAAGAATGTACTGTAACCCAAGATATAGAGTGTGTTTACTATCCAATACAACAGTTCTGTAGAGAGCCACTTTCATTTTGACACTGTCTTATCTATTCCCCCAAGGCTCATCAAACCTTAATTCATGCTGTTACATTTTTTCTTTTATATTTATTATTTGTATAATTCTGTTAGAATATTCATACGAAACATTCTCTGACATATTGATTCTAAGTGATCATAAAAGCAGTAATTTGATATGGTAAAGTTATACCAAAATATGACATGACAACGATGACCTTGACACTTACGAGGAGTCGGATTCCAAACTGTGCATGATCCCCACTCCCAGTAGCAAGAGCAGACTTCAGTTGTCCAGAGGGCAACACCCCCACATACTGGCCATTTGTGCTCACTGACATTAAGGTGACAAATTGTTTAGCTGCTACAGAAACCTGAAATAGTGTCTCCACACCATGCTGGGATCCTGGTGGCTACAAATTAAAAAGTATTTATATAATATATTAGTGTCTCCATACCATACTGGGATCCTGGTGGCTACAAATTAAAAAGTATTTATATAATATATTAGTGTCTCCATACCATGCTGGGATCCTGGTGGCTACAAATTAAAAAGTATTTATATATCATATTAGTGTCTCCATACCATACTGGGATCCTGGTGGCTACAAATTAACAGTACTGTATTATATGTTATATCAGTGTCTCCAAAACAAACAGTACTGTATTATATTATATATCAGTATCTCCACACTAGGCTTATGAAAGGTATTGATTATATCAAATTAGACAGTAAACAGTTCTTATGGTAAGAAGTGATCAGATCATAAAATCATATAAATATTGGAGAATCATAAATTGATTGTTGTTTGTATATAACAAGGTTTTTGTAAACCATTTAAAGTTAACAAAATATATAGGGATATTACAAAGCATAAGGCTTCCTTCACAAGGGAGTTTATTGTTGGGCTACTTACCATGTTCATGACCATGGTGTTACCCCTGATGATTGCCAGGTAATTGTAGTTGTTGTGAAGACGAACTTGGTTTTTCCCCTCGTTTACCACAGTCCAGACAGCTGAAAAAAAATTAAATGTTACTCTAATGTATCTTTTACCATCAAACCATGGTAAAACAACCACAACAGCTTCCCAGTTTGAGTTGTTCAATTTATTATTCATTTCAACATATTTCGCTCTATTTGAGCTTCACCAGGACCTAGGGCGAACTATGTTGAAAAATAAAACTGAGGAACTCAAACTCAGAAGCTATAATTGTGGTTGTTATAGCCTGATCACTACAACACATTTGCCTAGCATACATTTGGGTATCCAGTATGGGACACCTGGACCTGCCCTAAGATAAAACCATGGCATTGGCTTTATCCCTTATACCTTTTAACCATCAAATGTATCTCCCACAAATCTTGTTGGTAAAATCAGCTTACTTACATCTCTCTGATTAAACATGACAATAATGTTAGTCTTATATCATTAACCATCATTAAACACTGACATCTAGAATATATATTTGCCTTAATGGAACTTGCCATGGTTTTCATTTCCACCTTTTCTGGACCACTTCTGATTTTACTCTCTCTAATACAGGGAGAGGGGTGTAAATACTCACCATTGTTCACCTGTGGCCCCTCAGGACCAGCCCCGTCCACAACCAGTTCCCCAGTAGGTGCCATTACAATTTGTAGGGAGTGGCCGCTTGCTCGAGATATGAGCTGAATGACATTGTTTGTCGTGAAATTACCCTGAAACATCAAAATAACAATAACCAAGCTAAGTAAAGGGTTGCTTACTAGTATTCAGTTCTTTCAGCAATCTATAAATCGGCAATCAAAGAAAATTGGTTCAATAAAAGATACAAAGTAAGCTGTTTTTACTTCAAAACACTTACATATTTTAACCTCTTAAAATCTCACACATTTGTTTATCTTTGTAAATGAAACAATCTAAACCTGTCTTCAATCCTTGATGTAAATTTCAAGTGAATACTTAAAAGTTAATGTAAATATCTACATAGTAGGTAGCAATTATGTGACATAGCTGTTAAATGTATAACTACCGCCTGTCTAAAGATATCATGTGACCTATCTATTTACATCTGTTTAAAGAGACAATGTGACCTAAATGTGTACACCTCTCTAGTCAGGCTATCTGACCTGTGTACACCTCTCTAGTCTGGCTATCTGACCTATCTATTTACACCTGTATGAAATGACCATGTGACCTAAATGTTTACACCTCTCTAGTCAGGCTATCTGACCTATCTATCTACACCTGTATAAAATGACCATGTGACCTAAATGTGTACACCTCTCTAGTCAGGCTATGTGACCTATCTATTTACACCTGTACAAAATGACCATGTGACCTAAATGTTTACACCTGTCTAGTCAGTCTATGTGACCTATCTGTTTACCCCTGTATAAAGAAACCATGTGATCTAGCTTTTTAAACCTGTATATAGAGATCACATGAACTAGCTGTTTACACTTTGTGAAGTTGTTGTTTCTAAATGTCTAGAAAAACCAAGTTATCAAGTTTTTTTTTTCCCTGTCCAGAGAGACCATATGACCAGAGTTTTATTGTCTTGAGAGACCATGTGGCTTAACTGGTAATATGTAAGCTATTCAGTGTTTACCAGTATTGGATTGGCAGAATTCTGGTCGATATGGCCTACTGCTTTGTTTGCAACCCAGTTTAGCTCACGTTCTGTCATCCTTCCCATGGCATCCACCTCCTTTGACAGGAATCCAAGAATACCATGCTGCAAAATCAATCATATAAAATCATGATAATTGTTAAGATAATGAAAATACTTTTGGAAGTTAAAACTTACTTCTCTCATCGAAAGAATTAAATCTTATAACATTTTTACCTGTTTGCAAAAGCTAAGCCTTGTGCAACAAACAAGACACGATGTTATATGTCAAAACTCTGACACTGTATACTTTTGATATATCTGTACCCTTCAGTTTCTTCAACAAAATAATTTGACCAGGTAACAGAAAATCTGGCAATACATTTTCAGTGACAAAATAAGAATTGCTAATTTCACATGAAATGATAACTTGGGGTAATGTCAATACATACTGCATACCGTATGTCAGCACAGCCATATGGAGTCTGGGGTCATTTCACTAAAATAACACATTTGTATGGAGTCAGGGGTCATCGCAATAGAGTAGCACCTCCATATGGAGTCTTTGGTCATTTCACTACAGTAGCACCTCCATATAGTGTCTGGGGTGTCAATAAAGTAACACCATTATGGAGATAAGGGTCATTTCAATACAGTGATGCTATTACGGAGTCAAGTGTCATGTCCATAGAGTGACACCATCTGGAGTCAGGGGTCATGTTAATATAGTGACACCATCTGGAGTCAAGGGTCATGTTAATATAGTGACACCATCTTGAGTCTGGGGTCATGTTAATATAGTGACACCATCTGGAGTCAAGGGTCATGTTAATATAGTAACACCCTCTGGAGTCAAGGGTCATGTTAATATAGTGACACCCTCTGGAGTCAAGGGTTATGTTAATATAGTGACACCATCTAGAGTCAGGGGTCATGTTAATATAGTGACACCATCTGGAGTCAAGGGTCATGTTAATATAGTGACACCATCTGGAGCCAGGGGTCATGTTAATACATTGACACCATCTGGAGTCAAGGGTCATGTTAATATAGTGACACCATCTGGAGTCAAGGGTCATGTTAATATAGTGACACCCTCTGGAGTCAGGGGTCATGTTAATATAGTGACACCGTCAGACCAAGCAGTCATTGGTTATGCCATTACAGTTACACCATGTGTGTGTATTTCCATCATGAAGATTAGATGATCGAAAGTTGGAAGACTGTCAACTTACTGAGTTCTTAGGGGGTGGAGCAACTACTCGCTGCTGCTGGACTACAACAGTTGGCTGTTGATAAAAAGATTGGCATTTATCATATAGTAATGAGATCATAATTGAACTTTAGACACAAACAGGCCAATGATTATCAGGATATTTATTCTTCTAAATACAATTATATTTAAGCAAATAAAAAGATCAGGCCTTTACACACAAATAAAAAGTTTGGTAAAATGTTCATTCAAAACCTATGAAATAAGATAAGATATTTGTATTGTTAATTTTTATTATCACTTAACAATCCTGTAGTGGTCGATATATGTACACTCTCTCAAGTTTTTCTTAAAATCTCAAACCTTCTGAGAGACATGCTAAATCTCCTTGTTACCTTAGATTTGGGCTCTAGGACAGAAACTTCATACTGAAAAAAACTTACCCCAGCAGTTGGGTATGTTGCCTGTGGCTGGGCACTATAGGGAGGTGGCACTGGTCCACCAGGATAGTAATTAGGTCCTGGGGGTTGTTGATAAGATTGAGGCATGTTTCCGCCAGGGTAGCCACCTTTACCTGCCATTTTGATTTATTCTTGAGCTGAAATATACAATGAGTAAGTTGTTATAGCTGAATCCATTATTTCAGGGTCTTTGTAGTCCATGGACCTATAATATCGGTATTATACGTTCCTGCTCTGGTCCGAATGGTTCTGATTACATATGAAAAGTTATGCTTTTTCCTGCCAAAGATCACATTTTGTGCGAGACCACAAAAGCCATTAAAATAAGTTAATTGTCCTGCTTAGTATATACGGTACAAAAACGAAACTATAGACAAAGTGAACTGTCATCCAATATCATCAGCTTATGAGCGTTTTATGTACATTACGCACCTGACGCTGATAATCTTTCAACAATTTAATGTCATTGTGTTTTAACCTGTTCGCACGGTAACCTGCTGTGTCACTTTAATTATATCAAATGAAATTAACACGAAGTAATAAATTTAAACCTATCACTTTCATTTTGTACACTTCGTTGGATTGCCCGATATCTAAAAATATCAGTCATCACTCATCAAGTATTTCACATCACCAACTGACATCGTTGTACATACTATTGTAGAGTCGAAGTTGTGTACTTATTATTAATTCATGATCATCAAAACATTCCTTTTTCTCGATAACATAAGATGTTAACATACCTGTGTGATCTTACTGGAACTTTGATACTCCACCTGAAACTGAAGAATCGTCACTTATTAGCCAATCTACCAGATGACTCTTAGTCACAAGGCAAATAACAAACAGCTTTTCCGCATTCGCAAGAGCCTCGGGTTTTATTATTAACATACTGTATATTGTCCGATAAGTTCCGAACAGAAAATCTTTGTCTTTTGTATGCTTTAATCTTTTCTCAGAACTCAAACGCACAGGTGACTGCTAGTGTAGGTCTTCCGTAATGGATTCTTTGGTCAAATTGGGTTTGTTGATATCAGTTTTGTTTTTCCTTCAGCAAACTAGTTCCCAGTTAGTTGTCAACGTGAAAAATCGCGGAGGAGATGTTGTGATTGAAACTATACAGGCTAACACGTCTAATGACGTAGTGCAACTCCAGTTCCAGAACACAGACGGAACGATTGTGCACCAACTAATTGACTACAAATCTGTAAGTGACGTGATGAAAATTGTCCATTCATGTGATCTAAAAACTTCTACCGCGTTATGGATTTACCTCGTCCCAACTCTCGTTTATTTTCCATCATAACTGGAAGACATTTCGCACCAGGTTGAAGTCCTGCATTGGAGGAATAGTTACAGTTTCCGTATTCAATTATTCGAATTCAGGGTCATTCGAAATAGAAACACATCAAATTCCGTTCAACATTTGCAACAAAAATGGCATCATATTGTTCATATGACCCAATAACCACGTTAAAAAGATGACACTCCATTTTGTACCAATTACTTAAACAAACTTTGTGTTACTATTTCAAAATGACCCTGTATTTGTTATTATAACTGACTACTCAAAATGCTAACTCTCCCTCAAATGCATTACTATTACCCATATGAAGGGTAATGCCCAACCTGATGAAATAGTCAAAATCATCTATCAGATAAGAAATAAGCTAATTTATTATATATTCGTGCAATTTTAGTGTTATGAAAACTATATTTCACATGGAACATGTCCATTTTCTGTATTCAGACATTTGCTTAGACATCACATTATTGTCACATAGATATACAATTTAATTAAGGACATGTGCTATATATATGTTCACCATACACATTCATGGGTCTAGTTTATCATACTTGACAGATCTAGATGCATTATATATATGTATATATGTACAGGTTGGGCACTCTGAACTCTTTATGACTAATGATCCCACTATGTAATTTCTGTACTCTGTAGTTAGGGAAGAACAAATTAAAATTGGTGATATGAATTGTTATATATTTTAGTATATGGTTACATAAATTTGTTTTTATACAATACAGTGTCGCTTTGGCTATCAATAATGTTTAAAGATGATGCACTTTTAGGGTGTTCAGTGGTCAATTTATTATCGTGAGACCTCTTCAATTTTATTTCTAAAAAAAGATGGGTTTGATGATGTAAAATTTAAATATTCCCAGAAATTCTTCAAGTGGCATCATGTACATGACTCCTAGCTCCCTTGTAGGTTGATTATGCATGTAAAATAACTATGTGTTTCTATACTTGTATTCCAAATTACACAACTTTTTATTAATTAATTACTCAAAGCTCTAACTTTTACTCAAATGCATTATTCATTAACGGGAATGTGTCTGACCTGATCATATACAATACATTATATAATTGAAGTTCACAATTTTTTTTCTAACTATTCTGTTTATGTTTTCATAGGTGCTTGCTGTTTTAAGCTCTTGTGAATTGTTATGATGTATATATGTTACAATTATAGGAGGCCCAAATTTTCAGAGCTCATGTTCTGTGGGAAGAAGAGCAGGGATTTTCCCAGTACAAACCACAAGTGTTATGTTTTGTTACTCGCTTCAACAAAAATGAGTTTATATCAGCGGATGCTATGTCAAAATTAAGACAGGTATGTAAACTCTGACAGAGTTAAGTTTTAATGTGTTCAAATCCATAACTTACTCCATTAGAGAATTCACAATTGCATATGATTAAATGAACAATTGTTAAAATATTCTTAATATTTACAATAGATGTATATGATGTGCCATTGATATAAGATTTTATGAAGAGATCTTGGTTGTAGAAAAATCCAACAGCTATTCGTCAGCCAGAGGAGGAACGCCCCCCAGAGTTACACACAATGGACACTCAGGTTTACTTAGACCGTGGAGGACTTATCTCCCCTCATCTTACAGCTACCTGTAGTGATACAGTTGATTCCATTTATACTAAGGAAAGTGACATCAGATTGTGGGCCAGAGGTACATCTTCATCTTGTATTACTCTTCAAATTTTACACTGACATATTTTTCATGTACTGCGATACATATCATAATGTGTCTGTTGCATCAACTCTTTTATTGTCTGTCATGTGACCTGTGTTATACACCCTCATGATTAGAATATAATCAATATTTCATTAACAAAAGAAAAAAATAGTCAAATTTTGGGTTCAGTTATTCCTGTCATACTTAAAATCAATTTCAAGCATTGCTAAAATAAAAGCTCTTTCTCCTACTTGAAAAGTGTTATTTTCCCAAAGTTACAAAAAAAAACCATAGCAGAATATTTCCCTATTTTCTGCAAAAATATAACTTTACACAGGCAGCTCTATTGAATTTAGGAAGAGAAAAGCACTGATCAGTAGAAGAAGAGCCTAAGGACTTTCTCCAAAGCTTTTGTGATTTTTTTTCCACAGGCTTGCTTTAGATGAAACAACACATGTATTGTTTCATCAACTCCGAGAGAGATGTAGCTTATGTTGTTTAACTGTGTGTATTTGTACTGTTTACCACAGCTCCAGGGAGAGATGGTCTTATGAGCACTGTACAGCGACTTTACCCAACTAAATACCAACACTGTCACCAAGTGGAGGATGCCACAAAGCCGTGTTTATGTACATATAGTCTTACTGTGGGTTGGTACCCATGTGGCCTTAAGTACTGTCGTGGCAAGGATTCCACTGGCAAGTATGTCAGTTACCGCTGTGGCATCAAAACCTGTAAACGACATCTCTCCTTTGACTATGTATCCAAACAGAAAATGTATTGTATGTGGGATGAGACCTGATGGATGCATGTATCATTAAGATAGTGGTTAAAATATGTTTAATGTGAAATGAACACACTGGCCTTGCTCGGGTGCATAGTTTCTGATACACATACAAATAAGTCAACAATACTCAGTGTATTGTATTCATGATTGGCTCTAGTAAAATGTGGATGTATACAGCATGAATGTTTGAGCTTTGTGAAGTAATTTTGTGAAAAGAGCTATTGGTATTGAATAAGCCGTAGTCTCGCATTACATAATTTTCTTTTGAGAGTTAATTTACAGAGACTGAAAGGATCAAGCTTGCACCATTTTGCTGTAATTTCAAACGTTCCTGTGCTAAATCTTAAGCTGTACATCCAAAGTTACAACAGTGATGGACATAGGTTTCTGAGGTACAGCTGGGTGAGAAATGCTATACGCTTGTCTTGAAGCTACCAGTTGGAGTCGGAAAACAAAATATCAGATGTCTCATATGTAAATGTGTACCAGAGCTCACATGTTGAAACTTCAGGCACATTAGAACCCAATTGTGTAACAATATATTGGAAGTCTGGCATATCAAAACTTGCATGGTACCTGGTAAATGTTCGTCTTCAGAAGTTGTATGTGTAACAAAGTATTAGAACTTTCATGTGTAATGTTGTGTGAAAAGTTGAATATGTAAAAGAATATTCGCAAGTGTGCCGGTATATCAGAACTAATGTAAAGGTATACAAGAGTCTACATGTGTAACTAAATGAGAGTGTAAGGGTGTGCAAGAGCAGTGGTGTATCATAGCCTGCACATGTAAGAATGTGGCAGAACACCAACAGCAAAGGTCTTTCACAGCTTTGTATTAAAACTTTAGTGTGTAACATTGTATCACAGCTTTTAGATGTTAAGTGAATTGGACAGGTGTATACAAATACCTGGTAGATGTAATACTATTCAAAGTACTTTCTGTTGTATTGTACTGTTTGAAGATCTTAAGAATCCATGTTTTTGTGTTTGCAATGTCGGCAACCTCTTGTCCAACAATATGTGGTCATGACCTTCCAAATCTTCAGTAACAAGGTGTTTTAAAGGATATTTAGATAGAAAGACTTTATAATCAGTTTTTATTGTACAGTTACCACATCTATATGTATTTAGATGATGTTCTATGTTATATTTAAACATTTGTTTGACTATGTTATATCAAAAGAAAAAAAATTTTGGAAACTTTTTAAACACTGATCAAAAGTAAAGACATGTTGGGTAATTCTAGTATTTTTCTTGATTTGAGCAGGTCATGATATGACCAATATCAGATGAAATCATGTGAGTTGTTGACATTATTTTAGACAATATGTTTTACATTGTTGCTAGTGTCAGATGAATGTTTAACAAATAAATATGTATGATCAATTATGAAATTTTATACCAGTATTTACATGTTATACAAAGAACTATGATAATCTTATATTTGTAATATTATTGGTCAGAAGACTTTCAAAGTCTCGAACACCAGAATGTGCTTACATTGTTGTTTTAATGTTTTATTTTTGTTGCAGTATATAGTTAAGATATGCCAATATCAGCATGAATTAAAAAGATTTACAAAAAAAGGATTTTTTTGTAATTTCTTCATCAGTCAATTTCATATTACAGACATTAAATTTCATATCTGTAAACGCTCACCAGTACTTATGTTTTACAAGTATGACAAGTACTGTGTAACACTATATCTGTAAATACTCACCAGTACTTTTGTTTTACAAGTATGACAAGTACTGTTTGACACCATATTTGCTGCTTATGCTTTCTCACCTATTCATCTTGATGATCCATGTAATGGTTTGCTTGCTTGGAGGTGGAGTTTCGTGTTAACGAACATTTCAGAGGTGATCAGTCGGAGGCCGTCCTGAGTAATTACAGTGAAGTTGTTCAAGGACACCACAAAGCCTTCACAGACCTGTGTTTCTTGACTTCCATTTAAATGGCAAAATACTATTACATTGACTCCGAAATACTACTTTCGAATTCAGTTTTTATGGTTGGTACCAGTGACTTTAAAATTCTTTTTTTTTGCAATTGGATAGGAATTGTTGGGAACTGCACTGACAATACTTACTTGTATTGATCAAGACTTAAAACGTAAGTGAAGCAGAAAACCTGGACACTTTTTCAGGAGTCTCGGAGTAAATCTTTGTTCACATTTTGCCATAGTTTGAGTTTGAATTGAGATTTTGTTGACATATTTCTATTTCATTTGTTGTTTTTTCAGAAAAGCAAACCTTTTGTCTCATTGCAAAGGTTTCATAAGCACATAGGAGTATTGTCACTAACATGACTGAGACACCACAGCTAGACAGACAGTGTTATGGTATGATTTTAATGCTATGTGTATTGTCACTAACATGACTGAGACACCAGACAGACGGTGTTATGGTATGATTTTAATCCTATGTGTATTGTCACTAACATGACCGAGACACCACAGCTAGACAGACAGTGTTATGGTATGATTTTAATCCTATGTGTATTGTCACTAACATGACTGAGACACTACAGCCAGACAGACGGTGTTTTGGTATGATTTTAATCCTATGTGTATTGTCACTAACATGACTGAGACACTACAGCCAGACAGACGGTGTTTTGGTATGATTTTAATCCTATGTGTATTGTCACTAACATGACTGAGACACCACAGCCAGACAGACGGTGTTTTGGTATGATTTTAATCCTATGTGTATTGTCACTAACATGACTGAGACACCAGACAGACGGTGTTATGGTATGATTTTAATGCTATGTGTATTGTAACTAACATGACTGAGACACTACAGCCAGACAGACGGTGTTATGGTATGATTTTAATCCTATGTGTATTGTCACTAACATGACCGAGACACCATAGCTAGACAGACAGTGTTATGGTATGATTTTAATGCTATGTGTATTGTCACTAACATGACTGAGACACTACAGCCAGACAGACGGTGTTTTGGTATGATTTTAATGCTATGTGTATTGTCACTAACATGACTGAGACACCACAGCCAGACAGACGGTGTTTTGGTATGATTTTAATCCTATGTGTATTGTCACTAACATGACCGAGACACCACAGCTAGACAGACAGTGTTATGGTATGATTTTAATGCTATGTGTATTGTCACTAACATGACCGAGACACTACAGCCAGACAGACGGTGTTTTGGTATGATTTTAATCCTATGTGTATTGTCACTAACATGACCGAGACACTACAGCCAGACAGACGGTGTTTTGGTATGATTTTAATGCTATGTGTATTGTCACTAACATGACTGAGACACCACAGCCAGACAGACAGTGTTTTGGTATGATTTTAATCCTATGTGTATTGTCACTAACATGACTGAGACACCACAGCCAGACAGACGGTGTTATGGTATGATTTTAATGCTATGTGTATTGTCACTAACATGACTGAGACACCACAGCCAGACAGACGGTGTTATGGTATGATTTTAATCCTATGTGTATTGTCACTAACATGACTGAGACACCACAGCCAGACAGACGGTGTTATGGTATGATTTTAATCCTATGTGTATTGTCACTAACATGACTGAGACACCACAGCCAGACAGACGGTGTTATGGTATGATTTTAATGCTATGTGTATTGTCACTAACATGACTGAGACACTACAGCCAGACAGACGGTGTTATGGTATGATTTTAATCCTATGTTCAATCAATGAAAACTCCACAACGGATTCTTGGTGTTGACATGTTTTATTACTTCAATAGACAATGCCAATGCCATAAGAGGCAAAAATTGAAAGATAAGAAGTCAAACCCTTTTATTATCACAAACTGGCTAGACTGATTATTTTACAGAACAAAAAATGAAGTTAAATTGTACCTAAAGACCATACAATGTTTGCACCAGTCTGAACCTATGCTTGGTAGATATACATCTGTACCACCAACAACAAACAACACAGTTATGCATTGCGTTATGGCCAATATCAAGGTAATTAATCTGCTTTGTAATTATCTTATTTATCTAGAGACAAACATCTGGATAGCAAATGATGTGTATCAAGTCTGATGAGCAAGATATAGAATAAGGTAGATATGCAATATATCTCTAGCTAAATGTTTAAATATTTACAGCCAAAGTCGATTGCACATTTGAAGTTTTTCCAGGTTTCATTAACCAGAAATTGTGAATGATATCAAGGAAAACATTAAAATTATTTACATTGTAAAGATATCGCTAACTAAATCTAATTTCATGTTTTGGATTCCTCAGAGTGTTTTAATCAAGAGGTAAGATAACTGACCTTGAAGACTTTTACTTAAAGGTTCTTTCGAAACATGTTGGTTGATCTTGTGTACAGGTATCCAGTACCAAATCTACGGTACTGACAAAGTCAGTTTGTAGATTTTTTCATTTAAAATCCTTATTATGAAGTTATATAACATCAATATACATACACTTTAATTTGTTTTTATATAGAAACAACTTATCAAATCTCCAAAACATTTTACACAATACATCTGTCACTTACAAAACATCAAACCATCCTCTCATTCACAACATCAAAATGAAATTAAACATCTTGGCTATCTCAAGTCACACTAATTTGAACCAGTAAAGGTAGGTAAAAATTGTAGCCCGCTAGCATAGAGTTGAGCTGAACAATAATTATAAGTTTCTGCTAACTTTATCATTTTATACCTTAAATTGCCTGTCATAAGACAATTGTATTATATACTAATAACTTTGGATTGAAAAGCTGTTAGGTCACACCCAATGATATGTCTTTACAAAGAAAAAACCAATGAAATCTTCCTAACCCAGTACTTAAACAATGTAATACTTTTTATAGCACTGCCTAAAATGAATTGAGTATCAAACGGTCTAATAAAGTACCATAAGACTTTAAAGCTTCAAATCATGATTTTGGTTATTTCTCAACAGCAGCATGTCAACTTTTTCCTTTTTACTTGCACACATTCTATCATGTCAGTCAAAAAACACTTGTTGGTTTAGAGAGACAAGCTCACTGACCAGTAAAAAAGAGGTCAATGAATAGGAAGACTACAATAACACAGTACAAAGGTACTGTATCATAGATATCAAAAACATTTTTTTGTACTTTTTGTTTTTTTTCTGGAACTAAGAAGCAAACGATACTTTTCAACGTGAAGTTATATTGTTGGACATTTCTTCCCAGGCGCTGCATATCATATTGTAACAGGTCAGCAACAAGTATATGCTCCACAGGAGGCACAAAAATAAGGGTGGAAAAAATCTAGAAATAATATGTAATGCAATGAGAAATGATGTCCCCATTTACCATTTGAAAAGAAAAAAGGGATCTCTGAATGAAGTGGTTTATTTCTGTGTAACAAGAAACATCTGGTTTTCAACCTGGAATTATATTTAGTTGGAATGATAAGTCACTACCAAGAAATGTAAGGAGCAATAGCAAAGATAACATGATTCTCAGAAAAGTGTAGAGTGCTAAGTCTTAAAAGTTGGCTAAATACATTAAGTGGCTTTTACGAAGATAATATGAACTAAAGGTATGGGATGATACACTTTTAAATAAAAAAACCCCACAGGTAAATTAATATTGGCTCTTACAAACAATAGCAACCAACTTTTATTCACCATTCACAAATCTTAGTTTATAACTGACTGCAACAATCACACAAGAACAGTTGTTGGTAAACCATTATTACAGATATATCAATATCAATTGGACAGCTTTCTCCGTTTCTCAGAAACTTCACAATACATCTGACAATCAAACTGGACAAGACTTGCGTCAAAATCCTGACAACCCACCATAGATCAGATCTGTAAAAAATAAAGCGGAATTTCAACTCGTAATATTTAATGTCAAACAAAAGTAAACAAAAACGAAAAAAGATATATTAATACTTACATATTTATAAACAAAAGAATACATGAAATCTTAACATGAGAATTAGAAAGATTCAAAATTACCTAATTTTTTGTAGGTACTCTTTTGAATGAATTAAGCATAAAGAGTTCATATAGGGCTTTAAAGTTGTAATAAAGACATTAACTTACCTTCATCATTTTCATTTTTGGTTGTTTCCTCTTCATTTCTCGTCGACTTTCTCTTTCCTTTAAATAAAGAACAAGTAATCCATATAAATTAGTAACAAGAAGCCCACGGACCTTAACAGCCATCAGACTACAAAACGTTCAGCAGAGAGAAGGATTATTTTATCTACATTGAATGACATCTTACTTACTGTTTTGCATGACGCAGATGGTACTTTTGGTGAACATTAGTTAACTGTAACAAGTGTTATCTATTTTTTGACAGTTTTCAGATAGCATTCAACCCTATATGAGTAAGTTTCCTTTCTGAAGGCACAGCCCTTGTGTCAAAAGGGGTTAATCATGTCTCCTACATATAAGTAATAAGTCTTCCCCAAATGATATTTCAGGAGGAATAACATTTGGACCCCCGACATTCTGTCTGCCTCAATTAATTGTGTTCTCTCACTGATGTTTACAAAAGGACCATCTCAGGATCACTTCAGACAAGTTAGAGCTCAATCCTACTTGGTGGCACTTTAGAAGAAGTTTGAAAGGTTTACGCACTTCAAGTCAGATGACCTAACAGAAGCCCATGGGCCTTAACCATCATATGACTATAAAGACCTACATGTGAAAGAAGCAAAGTAAGCCTAAAATAATTTGCTCAACTATTTTACAGCTAAATAGAAGGCATTGATTGTTCATCAAGACATTTTCTGCAAACTTGAAATCATATTCTTTACACAAGCACTTCACAATTTCCATTACTGCGGACATATTGCTTGTTGAAAAAGCAAGCTGCTGACCTAATATCAAGACCCTTAGCCTTTTGGTTATTGTGAAGTTGCTTAAGCATTTCAACTAATTTGACCCCCGTGACCTTGAAAGTTGGTCCAATATCAGCACCCACATCCTTTTAGTTATTGAGATGAAGTCATTTAAAGATTCTAAAATATTTGACCTTGACTACCAATCCTGACTATGGCGTATAACCCATTAGACCTTGACTACCAATCCTGACTATGGTCTATAACCCATTAGAACTTGATCTACCAACCCTGACTATGGTCTATAACCCATTAGAACTTGACCTACCAACCCTGACTATGGTCTATAACCCATTAGAACTTGACTACCAACACTAACTATGGTCTATAACTCATTACAACTTGACCTAACAACCCTGACCATGGTCTATAACCCATTACAACTTGACCTACCAACCCTGACTATGGTCTATAACCCATTAGAACTTGACCTACCAACCCTGACTATGGTCTATAACCCATTAGAACTTGACCTACCAACCCTGACTATGGTCTATAACCCATTACAACTTGACCTACCAACCCTGACTATGGTCTATAACCCATTAGAACTTGACTACCAACCCTGATTATAGCTTATAACCCTTTAGAACTTGATCTACCAACCCTGACTATGGTCTATCACCCATTAGAACTTGACTACCAACCCTGACTATAGCTTAAAACCCTTTAGAACTTGACCTGCCAACCCTGACTATGGTCTATAACCCATTACAACTTGACCTACCAACCCTGACTATGGTCTATAACCCATTAGAACTTGACCTACCAACCCTGACTATGGTCTATAACCCATTACAACTTGACCTACCAACCCTTACTATGGCCTATAACCCATTAGAACTTGACTACCAACCCTGATTATAGCTTATAACCCTTTAGAACTTGATCTACCAACCCTGACTATGGTCTATCACCCATTAGAACTTGACTACCAACCCTGACTATGGTCTATAACCCATTAGAACTTGACTTACCTCCCACTTTCTAGTTTTATCAGGATCTTCCTCATTCATCATGCGTTCTTTCTCCTGGCGTCGTTTCTCTTCACGACGAAGTTGAGCTGCTTCCTGGAGCTGAGAATGAGCTGCTTTCAGGAATTGTTCTTCTGCTTTCTTCCTGTTCTTTTCAGACTTGTTTCTGGCCTGAAATAATATTTCAACCATTGTACAGGACATCCTTCAATATGGAATTATATAGGAACAAGGCTAGTGTTTTCCAGAAATAGTTTACAGGCCTTGTTTATATACCAACAATACTACTATTATCACAGTAACTAAAATTGAATAACATCATTCTTACTGTAATGGAAATTCAGCACAGACAGTCTATATAAACCCACATAAACAAGATAATTAATAGAATTACAGTCTCATACTGACATACTGCCTCACCAAGTTTCACTCTTATCCCAAAGTTGAAATTACAGTGACAAGTAGTGTAGAAGATAAACCTTAGGCAAACCATTTATTTGATGTAGGTTAAAGGTCAACTTGTATGTCAGACTGATCTCTTTTTGATACATTTCTCACCGCCTGTCCAAGGTGAAACCACCCATCAAGTAAGAAGTGTATGAGATCGAGTCCAGACATGAAAGCAGAAGAAAATGGATGGTTACAATGCAAAACTATAGTCCCCCAATTTCCCCTATCTCCCTGTGGGGGACATTTAACCAGATCAGAGAAATATGTAATTAAGGACCTGAAAAGGACTGCTCCTTCCTAAAAGTCTCAATTCATGTCAAATGACAATTGAGTGTATGAAGACAATAAGATAAATGCCTTTAGTAAAATTGTGTTCATTCACAATTATTTTACTACATCCTTTCCTCATATGTTGTCACATTTTATATGTGTCTTGTCAGATTAACATGAAAGGGATATTTTGCACAAGTTAGGATTTCATACTTTTGAAGAAATCTGTAGAAAATTATCTTCTTATGTTCTTATTGAAAATGTACACACTTGTGATTTATCCACTACTCTGCATAAAATCTATGATCCAGTGACTTTCAGGTCCAAATTTTGTGATGCATCATATTTAGAACATTGGGCTGGGAGTATTTTCACAGATTTCGCCTGTACAAACTAAGTACAGGAGAAATATTTTGATGTTGAAAGTCAGAATAGCCAGAAATTTTGCAACATGGATGGAATATCTCTTTCACATCATTGTTATAAGTACCATACCTCCTTGCCGAGCTGCAGACGACTGACTTTCTCCAGGCAGTAGAAAACTAGCTGTAACAAGGGTTTCATGTGCTCCATATCAGAAGGCTTGCTCTTACCCTTGCCTGGTACTGTTAAACAACAAAACCATTACCCTAATAATCTGCTTGAGAACTAAATTATGCACTACCAAATTAATGAATTATTCAGACAATAAATATTGTTGACCAGTATCATCAATAAAGATACGATGCAAGAAACCAGATTTGCGTCATCTAGAAATGGTCTAGATCCCAGTTAACCAGTTTATATTCACTGGAGAATAACTGAATTATCTTTTTCTTTCAAGAAATTTTGCTATGAACATTCTTTTTTAGTAGTTCTTCAACAAATTCCTAAATGCCATTACAATAAGCACTATATCATGATAATTTATCTACACATTTTGTCAAATTCATTCAATACTTACGTGTTCCAGCAAATATACCCACACAAAAATACACCCCTATACCTTCATTCACATATGTATATACTTTTAGCATTGCATGCACCATATGTAGGCAAAGAGAGACAAACTCCTGTCTGTGAAGGAACATATAGGCAAAGAGAGACAAGTCCCAAATCAAACCTTTACCAATAGTGTCAACTATAATTGACTATATGTATATATAAAATAACTATATAAAATAAATAATTATATATAAATATACATAACTATATAATTAACTATAATTGATATCATGGTAATTTTACATAAAATATTGTATCCCAAACAGGTTTCAATTTTGGGTAGTAACACAACAATGATAAATGGACTGTACTCAAACTTTGTACATGTGTATAGCTACATGAATAGAAATAATGGAATAGGTGTGTTGAGTGTGATGAGGAAACACATGTGTTAGATATACTTACCATTAAAGCAAAATATCATTACAGGTTTAACTTCAGGCATTTTTGTGGTTTGGGATTCACTGTGAATATCAAAACATGGAGTTAAAAAAATGTTTTGCAAGTTTACAAGGATAGTGTTAGTGGACTATGATGTATCCTATATAGAGATCAATCTCAGGAGTGATGTCTCTTATCTTGGATAGGGAAGCTTATTTATAGATCTCTGAATATCCTGTGGGCCAATAAAGCATTGAATGTTTCCTACTCTACACTTCGTCAGAAAAAATATAAACTCATTTTTCATAACCATCCACTTTTCACAAAGTTGAGAGAAGTTTAATTATCTAGATCTTGACTTCTCTAAAAAAATACTGGGTCATTTGCCTGAACACATAGGTTCCTTTCCGGTTTTATGTTTTTTCACTCATCAAAATTCCCTTTGTGCTCCAATCCAACCATACAGGAGTGAAAATTTTACAGAAAAAATATTTAGCTACACTCATTGTTATTTAGTTTATAACAGTTGAAAAGGAATAACCATTAAGTTTTTTATTTCAGTGTTAATGCAGTCAATGCAGCGGTGAGTCAAAACATCAATTTAGTCAAGCCCTTTAAATATACATGGTCACTTACTCTTGTGATTTAGCCCCACAGAACTGGTCAGAGAAATGCATAAACTCTATAAGACCCTCAAACTTGGTCAGCACCTGGCAAACCTATAAAAATACACAAAAACATGTCAAAGAGATTATAAGTTATGAACAAGTGTTACAAAATAGGGACAACATTTGTCTCTGATATATAAATACACTTGAAATTTACTTTTTAAATCAGAATATGTATATATCCTTTTAAATAAGAGCAAATGCCATTTTAATAAAGTACAAAGCCCATCTGTAGAAGGTATCAATAAATATCTAATTCTGTTGTTCTGGTTGCATTGTTCCAAGGTTGGAAATGTCTATATGGGCATCCTAGAATAAATACTAAATGATGTAGATCTTAACTCCAATAGTGAAGACAACATGTTATGAATAAATGGAGCAATTCAATTAATTCTACGATGTTTTTATAACAACATAGCATAAGCAAAGCGTCACTGGAGTTAAAGTGCCGACAAAGAAACTCACTCCTTTAAATTCCATCTGGATCAATACTTTAATTCCATATGTGGGTAGTTACTGATCAAAATCACTATGACAGCTCTGTCTTATGTCACTACAATCATATCTCTTTCTCTTTGTAAATCAGCAGTTCTATTCTATATCTCATTAAAATATGAAGATACTTCCCTCTAAAATTACTTACCTCATTATCTACCTACATGTAGTTATCTTGGTGGTTGGGGAAGGGGTAGTGAATAGCACGACAACACTTCCCTCTAAGAATACTTACCTTTTTATCTAAAAGAGCACTAGAAGCCTCTCCCACCTCACTCAGTAGCTGGTAAGAGTTTGGCAAATCAGTATATCTATCTAAATTCTTCTTTTCTGTAAACTGACTCTGTGAAATACAAATTGGAACTTCTTTAATGTCACTTAGAAAGAAATATGTGAATGACATCAAAATGTATGTTAAATTTCAGATTTGTGATGAACTTAGCATCATATAAAATGCTTTTAGCTTTGCTGATTGGCAATGTCGTTTTTCTGAATTAATAATTTATCTTTCCATGCCAGACAAAAGTGAAAATAAACTCACTGCAGTCCTACTTACCAAATCTATCATCTCTTTGTGTAACTTAGCACAACTCCTCTTTGTAGCAATGGCAAATACAAACTTGTCCATTACATTCTTGTCAAGATCAATTGTCACCAGCTGTCAATGCAAAATATTGAAATTCTGAGTAGGGGTTTCATTAGTGATGTATTGTCTACCATAACAACAGTGAAACTGATGAATGCTCCCGAAAACAACTCTATTGGACACAAAATTTTAACAATGGGCAATATTTCTGTAATGAAGAGGGATTACAGACAATAAAGTTAGCACACTGTACATTCTCTCAGTACAAAACAATGTATATGCAAAGTTTCAATGTCTAAGTTTAAATGAAAGAAAATTATAATAATTTTAGCAAAGGAAACCAAATCTGTAATTTATGGGTTGCATGCCCTGAATTTGCTTCACAATGTATACACTATTTTTCATTATCCTAGGTTTAATGCAAGCGAAGTTAAGCTCATGACATAAAATTTCAACAAAGGGCAATAACTCCGTAACTGAAGGGATGCAGGCCCTGCCTTTGGTACACTGCATTTTGCTTTTATAAGACCAATATAATCAGCATATTTCATTATTTAAGTTAACATGCAGGCCAAGTTGTGCTCTTGACAAAAATTTCAACAAAGAGCAATAACTTTGTAATTAAGAGATTGTGGGCCCTGAATTTGGTACACTGTGTATCTTCTTATCATGATCAATGTATACATCAAGTTTTTTATCTTAGTTAATGTGCATGGAAAGTTATGATCCGAGAGCAAAATTTTAGCAAAGGGCTATAAACCTGTAAATTAATGGCCTGAAAATTTTCAGGAAGTATAAAAATAATAATAATGTAACTTTGAATAAAACATATCTTCATTCAAAGTCTAGAAACTTCATGTTTAGAGATAAAAGTGCAATTTCTCAGAATTATTCCCAAATTAATGAAAACAGTAAGTAAATGTTTTGTGTTGTCTTTAAAGTTACTTGTGAAAACTGCAATTAAATACTGTTTGATGTTTGCAATACATACTATTTGATCGGAGGCAGGTTTGAACATGTTGGCCATTGTGCTGATGAGATCTTGTCTCTTCAACAGCCGAAGCTCTACCAACATCCCCTCCAGAGCACTCCGTCCACTACACCACAGTGCATATACATTCTCTGACTCCTTCATCAAGGTACCAGCCTGTGCCTCCTTAGTGGATCCATCATCACCTAGAAATATAGTTACAGGGTAATATGAACATAGCATAAAATCTTAACTGCTAAATGAAACTGTTTTTTGTTTGTATCTCACTGCCTTGATTTTATCTAAATATGGTTTGCCATTTGACACAAGACTGAATAATATTATACTTAGATATGGCTGTGACTACTTTGTATCTGTAACCTTATATGTAATACAGTGTTCTGTAAATACTTACCAAACTACTGTTGAGATTTAATATCATACAAATCTACACTGAATTCTGCTACTGGTATCAGTGACCTGGAGTACTTCAGAAGTAACAAAAAGGCAGCATCATATATAATTATTATGCGACAAACTCACCTACAATGTGGAAGTTACTCTCCAGTAGGTCACGGTTCGACTGAAGCCATGCCTGTGCTAATTTGTGGTTCTTGTTTTTACCATGGATGAAGTTAAGAAAATAGACAGCAAGACCTGCTAGCATAAGGATCTCCATGTAGAAGCTGTCCCAGTTTGTACGTAAATGGCCTGGCACCTGTCAAAGGCATTGTGACAGTAATAGCAGTATAATTATACATCTAGAATCAGCTATTTTCACCTTAACTTTGTTTGAACGAATGAATTTCAGTCAGCAGGGCTCAAAAAAAAAAAAACTTTAAAAAATACTCATTCATCAGTATAAACAGGATATCAATTGGTAGACAGTTTTATTCGAAAAGTATGAAGGATAACAGGGAAAAAATTTACTTGTCTGACGGAGCTAGTTGACAATAAAAATCACACATCTGTCGACAAAATCCACTCAACAGGATGAGCAGACAAATGCTTTTACTCAGCCCTGGTCAGAATTTGTCAAAGTGTGCTAACTTAAAAATTACTAGATTTCTCCATACAACATTCAACCTACATACCTTAGCCATTTTCAAATCAGGAAGTTTGTCTTTAGACTTTCCTGAGCTGGCACCTTGACTTTTATCAAATCCGATAAACTCATCTGTATCTGTGAAGTGATCAAACTCATCGTCGTCATCGTCAGTCTAAAAATAAAACAAAAATATTTAACATTGCGCAGCAACATTGATTGTTAATTTGTTTCACCGGTGAGACTTTAGAGGCACTTCAAAAGGAATAAATCACTGTAATGGGTTATTGAGGCAGTTCAAAGGTACAAACTATTTTAGATGGTACATAAACCAACCAGATTGTAATTCAGTATTAACACCTGATTATGAATCAACAGTACTACTTAATTCTAACCTTTTTGTTTTACAAGTTGTTTTCTGCTTTAGTATTATAGTAAATTAGAAATACCTCTATCGTAGAATCATCTTCATCCTCTCCCTCACCATCCCCTTCCTTCTGGTTTGAAACTTCTACCTCATCTGGAAACTCTGCTCTGTCCTCATCCTCCAACACATCAACTAAAGAGAAAGGAAGAAATCAAAATAAGGCAAGTACATCTATCAGCTGATAATTCTTTTGGGAAATCAAAATAAGGAATATCTTACATTAATTTGTTTTATTCCAAATACTTATTTACTGAAAAAAAACACCAAGCCAAAAGCATGTGTATCACTTTTTGTAAAACTTAATGATCATCTCTTTATAAAGTTATCAAACAAACACACCAATTTCAATTTTAATACATGTATATCTTTTATATATACCATGTAACCAGTGATAAGGTACACAGACTTAAGTAGCATGACCATAATATAATCTATGTACTTCAACCCAGCTTTTACCTAGTTATAACAGATCAGATTATGTCTTTTCATGATAAGATACATTTTTTGCTGTATGTAAATTTCAGGAAAAATACTGTGGTTATCTGTTCTATTATAATCGTATCAACATACCATCATCAAATTCTTCAAATTCTGCAAAGTCATTGTCTTCAATATCAGCATCATATGGGTTTCCTGCTTTCACTGAGATTATTCCAGTGACAAGGATAACAGCGAATACCAGCCAGCATGTGAAGGTCTTCATACTTCTAATCTGAGCAAAAACAATACATCTTATCATAGATATTTATAATCAATGATTATTTGTAGTGCACATTCATTAAAATATTCTGTATGAAGTTGTAAAGCAGAATACACAAAATTTGGCCAATAGATGAGAAAACAATGCATTGCCAAAAATCAATTAAACAGAATTTCTTCAAGTTATCCAGTTTCAATATGTGTAAGTTCTGATTGTTTGGTGTGAATTTTGGTAGGAGCCAATGAAATACATGTAATTCAAATTAAACATGGTTTTCAGGTCATAAGTAATGGCATGTCCTCAATCATATGATAAAAAACATGCTGTTGACTAGTTTTCTTAAAAATTAATAAAACAACATAAGATAGTACCACTAATTATGATTTAATCCTTGTGTTAGAAAAACCCAGGTGATTTCAAAAAAAGTCTGTGCAATTGTGACTGAATGAAATACCTCAGTGATTCAATATACTGTAACATTGCCTAAATATCTGATGCAGTTCTTTGATAATTTCTCGCTTTTGGATTATTTGGCAGAGCATTATAACATAGGAGAAACCTATAGTCGTTTATAACCCACATGGGATACTGTACATGTCTCATGTCTAAAATGATGGAGAATACTTTATTTATTTTTAAAGCATGTGAAGGCTTGTAAACCAATGTATCAAAATGACGATTTTTAACCTCGTTTGCACAAGATGACACACGTTCCCTCTGATCCAAGGGTCGATGTTCCCAACCTTGCAAAACCTAGTACTAATATATGGATATCCTCCTCCTCTAAACAACGTACTTTAACAAAATCGTATCGTATGTAAGGTGGTCGGCTAAATTATTGCGGCTTATGGGCCAAACTATAATACAGCAAGACAGTCGTTAAACAATAGCAATCGCATTTGGCTGTGATGCGGCTGCCAATTGTAATCGGCTGAGCATCTCATATCCTCCTCTACGTCAGTAATACTGAGTAATAGTAATTACGCTAGATTTTCAGTTTTTTCCAATTCATACACAACGTGCGATTGTCTTTAGGAATAAGCAAAGTTTAATTGTGTGTACTTATTAGTTATTTTCCTAAAAAAACCTAAAACCGTCAAAAGTGGTGACCATTCACAAGTCTGACGCCGGTCCACCAGTGAAGTAAAATCGATCAAAATTTTGATAAATTTTCAATCGATGAATGTGGTTATTGAACCAAGTAGGTAATAATGGGCTTGTGATGACGACATTGAGTCAATGCATTATAAAATGTAGATTGATTGCCTATTTTTTGCGCGAATGTGAACATGTGAACCTCACCGACGTTGAAGGAAGCTTGCCTCGTTCTGATTCTGACAGGAGAGTTCCAGTCGGACGTGCTGAAATGATTACCTCCCCTAGGCCTGGTGATGGCCATGGTACAGTGTAGTGCTTATGACGACTGTATAATTCATGGATTCAGCATCATATTTTTATGTGATAGAATTAATATTAATGTTAGAAATATTAACTTTCATATCGTTTTTGTAATAGGATTAGTCATATTTGAATTTTTTCCGCAGTACTCAAATATCGTGATTTTTTAAGTTAGTAAAAAAATAAAAGACAGTTCTGATCAATATTTATCAATACTATAGTTATCAATATAAATGAAAATAATTCAGTGTTTGAAATGAAATTAGGCTCCGTGGTAAAACATCTGCTGTGAACTTGAATGCACGGGCTGGGATATAGATATATATCAAACCCCCTATTAAAGGTCTCGGTTAACAAATATTACGGATCAACATGCTTGATATAGTATTCTAGGCATAGCTTGAATTAAAATTATTCACCTGGAAGAAATTAAGATTTTCATTCTGAAAACACCGAAAAACCACGGACTTTAATCTACGAGGACTGATTGTTAAGTTGTAAGCTTTGTATTGAAGAAGTGAAGCAGGGATGTCCTTTTTTCAGCTTTACTATTCCCTGACTACTTAAGACGTTGTTGAAGAGGTAATACTATAAAGTTAACAAGGCAAGTGACTTTTTTGCAAAATGGACAAAATCGCTGAAAAACAGAGATTCAATATTTGCATAAGAAAGCTCTAGCCCCTTAGGAAAACCATACTGATAGAGCAACAACACTAGGGATTGACGCTCTTCATATGCTTCAGTGAAAAGGTGCGTGGCAGACAGAGCCTTGGGGATGACGCCCGCCCTGGAAAACATGTCACTGTGTTATGGTTGACCGAGGAGTTACATATGTATATATATATAGCCAGTACAGGTGTGATTTAAGGAAAGATCTTGCTATCAGATAGCTTTCAAGCCCGTTGGGTACCAATATATCTGACAGTTGATCAGAATCACACCAGGCAGGCTTTGTTGCGTGCTAATCTGAACCTTTTAGAGACAGATACTGTTTACTTTCTGCACAGGTTCGTGACTATGGATGAAACGTTGGTTCATCATTTCACCCCAGAGACCAAAGAACAATGGGAGCACCTTGAATCAGTCCTAACCAAAGAAGGGATGCTGATGGTATTCTGATGGTAGATTATCTGCAAAAGGGACACACAATGGATGGTACATATTATGCATTACTTCTTAGGCAGTTAAGAGAAAATATTAAACTCAAGCGCCGCGTAAAACTCAGTAAATGTGTGCTATTCCACCGAGTAAAACATTTACCTTCCTTAGTTATATAAAAAAATATTTCAAAATACATCTAGCGATAAGATTGAGTTTGATAAATCACAGATATGAACCAGGACATGTCAATATTTAAGTCCGCAATGTGATTGTATTGTCCTTGTTGTATGGAAAAGACTTAAAAATAAGTGATATCGATTTAGAAAAATCATGATAACGGGTACGTCACGATAATGGGTCTCCAACCAGTAGTTGATGTTTAGGTAATTAAAAATTAATGCATGAAATAATAAATGAGAATAATATCAAATAGTCCGCCATGTTGCTTTTGTATCCACCATTGGAGCAAAGGAAGACTGGAACTGTCAATTTCCATGTCATGAAAGCAGGACTTAGATCCAAATCTGAGCTGATAGTACATGTAAGTGCGAGACCTCTCAAACTACACTCTCTTTGTAGTCTTTTGTATCTAATCTATTGAAAGATACAAAGAAAGTAAAAATTATCTTTGTGCATCAACCTCTTCGTGAAAATGGTGATATTGGGAAACCTAAAATAGTACGTTTGGATCAGCTACACAAATTGCCTATGACTAGGACAAAGAGAGGGATAATAAGCTCCATGTAATGCTATTTTTTAAGAAACGTGTACCTGCTAAAATTTGAATCTATGACAAGCCATGATTTGTTCATTGAACCGAAAATATTGAACCAATGCATGACAAAATTGAATTAGATAAAGACATCTAATTTTGTTACATGTTACCTTTTTGTCATGATATATCTTATATTTTTATGAAACATATTCATGATATTTAGTATTAGATATCTAAGATCGATTTATGAAGGAAGTTTCTTTTGGACAAGTTTTAATTTACATATGGTTATTAGATCATGTGATGTTCCTAACATGGTGAACGCCATTAAAACACAAGAAATTAGCATCTTTCAATAAAAACTGAGAATAGATACAGTAGAGCCAAGCACTGAAGAAAACTGCTTCATACAACTGTTTCATCCTTCTAGCTCTCGTCAGTGATGGTAAAGATTTTAAAACCTAAGGATCCTCACGTTATCTAGATGGGGAGGTGCACTTGCCCCATATAGCAATAGATTTCGTAATTTTTCTTTATTGGATCACTGTCGGGGTGGCGCAGTGGTAACGCACTCGCTATTCATCTAAATGTCCGGTGTTCGATTCCCTGAACGGACGTGAAAAGGTATTTCGATCACGTTCTTAGCCAACGTCTGTCTTGTTAATTATTCTAAACTTCCTGTAAGCCACATACACATATTTTTGTACGATCATCGATGATGGGTAACACTGTTAACAGAATTTATATTATTGTCTGATGAACAACAATGGGTACATATTGAGGTTACATCGTTAACAGCATATTCCGGACAAATGACAAATGCGAAAGATTTGTGTCCTTTATAATTCTTTTTAAAGGCTTTCCATACTGTATCGGAATATACGGAGAGGGTGAAGGGGGCTTTGTTAGAAGCAATGGCAACGAGACCATGGAGATCCGTATGTCATATTGTCTTCTTGTGTTATGTGTTTTGTTTTATTCATGTGTACCATACTGCTTTGAATTATAAAAATGGCCCGAAATCGTCCATCGTAAACGACTTCAAATCTATGTATGTAGTTAGATATGAAATGTCTGGCTCTGTTCATAAAAACAAAACGCGTACACAAATCACAAACACTGCAATTTAATACTGTTGTCAGGGCATACCACACACTAATCACCTCTACAGATAAATACAAAAAAGTGTAACAGGAGAATAAAGCCAACACGTGTAGAAACGGCAAGAAAGATATTTCTACATATTTTGCAATCTATTTTATGTTTTGCACAATTGAAAAAAAACCCAACATATTTCTGTACATGACAATACATAAATAATTTATCTATAGAAAACACAAAAGCTTTTAAGAGTTAAAAGTTTCCATTTTGTATAATATTTATGTGAAATGAATTAAAAAAAATATACGATTCATTCTTAACGTCATTATGGAAATCGTCTTCCCTATAAATTTTATATTTATCTTGACCTTGGCTGTTCATGGACGATCCTCACCCCTACCACCACAAAAAGAAATTTTCATCGTGACACACAATGATATCATCTGTGTAACTATCGTGTTTATGTTGCGATAAATTATAAGACATGGATGTATTCAACGAAAATAGAAACATAGAGGATATAGCGTCGTTGGACACGTAAAATTCCATGTGTTACGGGAAACTTTTAATCTATTTCTGTTGATTTTCGGGGGATTTATAGATATTTTTGGGAACACGTTTGTATTAAATTGATTAAATTTGTATGTAGGATATTTGAAAGTTCTGACTTGTAAATCCTGAGTTTACAAACACTTGATGATAATGACTTCTTGTTTCAGAAGTGCCCATAACATCCGACTACATTTCAAAGTCCTTTAAGAACTGGTTCCAGCTTCACAAACGATTCCAAACTAAAATATGTTTCCGTTATGATGAGTTAAACCAAGAAGGGATATTTCCTTAGTTAAGAAACGTTTATAAAACCGAGGTCCAGTCTGCTGTATATTGCGTCTTGGAAGAACAGTAAATTGAGGATAGGTTTACAATAATCATCCAGATTTCAGATCTTTGGTACATCCCTGGGTTCTATTACCCAACTTGTCGGGAACTCTTTCTTTCTTCGCTCTCGTTCACTTTCGATCGCTTCGTGATAATAACCATAGTAATCACCACGGCCTTTCCGCTCTACTGGAACAAATGCATCGCTCTTCGGCCAAGGGTTTTGGAAAATGTCCTTTGAAGGCATTGCAGGGAGGTCACGTGTGTATCCAAAGAGTTTCAGGTCTGCTTTACCGGTTTGTAGTAGACCAATGTTTTTGTTGTAGTAACCTGGAAACCAACAGATAATTTTAATACGGTTCACGAACCAACATTACAACATAACATTATTTACACACGAATTAACTGCATACGGCAGATTGAAAAAGATACTTGCGACTTCATAGAACACAAAGACATTTACTTGTTAAACGAGGTCATATATATAGCAATAAGTTTTGTTCTGAATTATATATCATGAAATGTCCAAACAGTGATTATCATTTTCAGAATTTGAATTGAAGCGAACCGTAATGAATAAGCACGTATTTTCGTGTGCAAGGAAAGTTCTTAAAGTCGCTCGTTAACCTCGCGTTTTCAATTTCCCTGTTCTGTCGGATTTTTACTCAAATGACTGCATTTTTTAAGTTAAGCATCGATGACTCATTGAATACGTTATACTGTACCGGAAGGCGTGTCTCGGTTTCTCATAAAGCTAACCCACTGGTCCTCGGACTGAATATCGATGGCGTCCCGCTTGGTTTCCCTTGGTAACGCCCGGAATTGGTCTTTGGCTATCCATGCTCTCTCCGAGGGAACGTAGTGCGCCATGCCCATGTATGCATGTGACTTTCCGTCGCCACTAAGGTAATTGTGGACGGGAACGGCATTAGTGGGACCACGCTCTTTCAGGTTAGTCCCTCCACTTGTGGCGTACTCCTTCCGGTGCATAGCTGTAATTAGGCTACCTTAAGTACAAGACTTAGATTAGACAATTCATCTTAAATAACCCGATTTAGACCTAATATATATATATTAAAAATATAAGGAGAGCTGAGCTATTCGCCTATTTCGTGTTAAAATTAACTAGCCCTGGACAATGCGATTTTCCAATATCATGGTCACGTGACCCCCTCTGATGGTGCGTAGTTTAATTCCTACTTGTTTGTGTTTTTAGGTATATGTATCTAATATCATTAATCATCTTGTGCTGTCGTGATCTCATGCATGTTCTGTGATGTAGCCACTATCTATAATTAGGAGAATCCACATCGAAATGATATTGACAAGCGAACCCCAGTAGACACCTGGAAGATTAGCTAGTGCATCTGTACTGTGATAAAATGACGTAAATGTCTGGACCTAGATATGATGGTGTAAAGGAATGGACTCAGGTGTGATGGTGTAAAGAAATGGACTCAGGTGTGATGGTGTAATGGAACGGACTCAGGTGTGATGGTGTAAATTAATGGACTCAGGTGTGATGGTGTAAATTAATGGACTCAGGTATGATGGTATAATGGAACGGACTCAGGTGTGATGGTGTAAATTAATGGACTCAGGTGTGATGGTGTAAATTAATGGACTCAGGTGTGATTGTCTAAATTAATGGACTCAGATATGATGGTGTAATGGAATGGACTCAGGTGTGATGATGTAAATTAATGGACTCAGGTGTGATGATGTAAATTAATGGACTCAGGTGTGATGTGTAAATTAATGGACTCAGGTGTGATGGTGTAAAGAAATGGACTCAGGTGTGATGGTCTAAATTAATGGACTCAGGTGTGATGGTGTAAATTAATGGACTCAGGTGTGATGGTGTAAATTAATGGACTCAGATATGATGGTGTAATGGAATGGACGCAGGTGTGATGGTGTAAATTAATGGACTCAGGTGTGATGGTATAAATTAATGGACTCAGGTGTGATGGTGTAATGAAATGGACTCAGGTGTGATGGTGTAATGGAATGGACTCAGGTGTGATGGTGTAAATTAATGGACTCAGGTGTGGTGGTGTAAATTAATGGACTCAGGTGTGATGGTGTAAATTAATGGACTCAGGTGTGATGGTGTAAATTAATGGACTCAGGTGTGATAGTGTAAAGAAATGGACTCATGTGCGATGGTGTAAATTAATGGACTCAGGTGTGATGGTGTAATGGAATGGACTGAGGTATCGTGATATACATCGACGGTATAGACGTCATAAGTCAATGATTTTTCCACTTAGGTCGTGATATTGAGTACAAAGTGTCACATAACCCTGTTGTTTATGATTAAACATTTCAGTATAATGATATAACAAATCAAACTTCCCTGGACATGAATTCGACAAAATAAATAAATAAATAAACACGAACTCGGTATGCTATTTGTCTAATTGGATCTCTATAATATAAAATTCAACAGAAATCATGATGTAAAATTCTGACTAGATCTCGATGAAGTGATGTAAAAGTCTAACTAATTCTCGATATAAATGATATGAAAGTGTAACTAGATCTCGATAAAGTGATGTAAAAGTCTAACTAATTCTCGATAAAGTGATGTAAAAGTCTAACTAGAACTCGATAAAGTGATGTAAAAGTCTAACTAAAACTCGATATAAATGATATGAAAGTCTAACTAGTTCTCGATATAAATGATATGAAAGTCTAACTAGAATTCGATATAATGATGTAAAAGTTTTCCCGTTCAACATACTACAGTAACAACTTTCAATGGGAGTAGCTTCCCCTACATCATGTAGCGATGTAACACTGTCAACACCTGTGATGCAATAGTATCACCTTGAAATATCTTCCTGCAGAAGTGATGTCTTACCTGTATTTCAGGTAGAACAATACCCTGATTGTTTTTATCCTTCCAAGCTTAGCCTATATGGTCGTTCTAATCTCCGCGTATCGGATAAGATTTAAATGACCAGTCATCAACAGTGCACAATCGGCAGTCTGTGTGTAGAGGGCGCCCTAATCAGTTTACATTAGTTACCCAACGTAACACCACACAGGTAAACATCCGGTTTGTACAGCTGCAACAGTCACAGGTAAGTGCACAAGTGTAATCGAGATCAAAGTAATAATTACAAAAAAGCAGGTAGGTTTCATAATTGTGATGGAAACTTGGCATTAAACAACGGCTTATTGTCGAGATATTTTGATACAGGTTGATCGTACAGGTGAGAAACGCCCGATAACCCTGTAATATAGGTGAAGATAGCATTTAGAGGTAGATATAACCCCTCATTCGTCATGCTTAATCAGCGCTAATGCCATTGCGATACAGAATACCGACCAGGCGAGCACTTGAACATAACATCTATGTATACTTCAGTATAATGTAAAACATCAAGATTACTGGATCTGTCAGATTAATTGAACAAGAAAAGGAACATTTTTTTATTTTGTTTTTATTTTTCTTCTATCAGGGTTTTTTTTATGTCTACAACTAAACATTTCTACATGCACATTTATTACAAGTCCGCATTTCCATTCAGACACATTCAGATAAATCCACATCAAAACATCCTCCTCCTCCCCTTCCTCCTCCTCCTCCTCCTCCTCCTCCACCACCACCACCACCAACACCACCACCATCACCACCACCAGCACCACTAGTTCAGTTTATGAAAACGATTTTTTTACACGGTTTGCAATAGACGCAAGTAGTTAATGTAAGATCGTAGAAATAATGGCACTTTACGTTCAAACAAAATTAAGTGACATTTGTTGACGACGGCTGCAGAAATGAAATCATATGCACATTATCAACATGTACATAGATTATTGTGTTACTCGAATTAAGGTATAATATGAATGCTTCAACAAAAGATATCAAAATTATTTCATATACTTCTACTGCTTACACTACAGTATCGACTTTAGATCTTGTCAAAATCCACCCCTTTTTGTTTTGTAGGATGCACAGAGTCGAGTACGCAACGAGTGGAGGGACAAACTTGAAGGAGAGGGGTCCCTACAACCCAACCCCAGTTCACAACTATCTCAGTGGAACAGGCAAGTCACACGTGTATCGTGGACCGGGTTACTACATACCACTGGACGACAGCTGGATCCAGTACCACGAATACAGGGCACTTCCACCGGAAACAAGAAGGGATGCGGTCCTGTTCGAGTCTGAAGATGCCTGGGTGGAGTACCAAAGGAAGCGTGATACAGCTCCGAAACCTAGCGGTAGGTCTGGCGCATAAATATGTCGACTTCAAAGATACGTGTGGCGACATAAGTGACTAGAAAGATAAGTGTTTCGACATAAGTGACTTCAAAGATAAGTGTTTCGACATAATGACTTCAAAGATAAGTGTTTCGACAGAAATGATTTTAAAGATAAGTGTTTCGACAGAAATGACTTTAAAGATGTTTCGACATAAGTGACTTGAAAGACAAGTGTTTCGACATAAGTGACTTCAAAGATAAGTGTTTCGACAGAAGTGACTTCAAAGATAAGAGTTTCGGCAGAAGTGATGGGATTCGATGATAAACGTTCAGATATAAGCGACCAAGGAGCGAAAAATGTCCACAGATATCGGATACATAATCTCTGTTTTTAGTGTAGAATTACAGTGCTCATCTTGTTTTCATGTGAGAAATCTTAAATATTAAAAGTCAAACAGGTGCGGGACTAACCAATTACTCGCATGATCCCCGCTCAATATACCGTGTCTCCATAAAACATATCATACCACCATAAATAGTTCATGATAGGATTTACTTTGCTGTTATAGTCTCCAATGGATGCGAGTGAAATCTGAATTACCAACATGCAGATATAGAAAATTGATTTCGTTTGAAATGAGAAATTTTTAGTTTGACGTGAAGAAAAACACGTTCGCCTGCCAAATTACATGCTCGTGAAATTTAAGGGCATTGTTTGTTTTCTTATGTGGCTTTCCTTCAGGTCTCCCTCCCATATCCCGCACTGTCGATCAGACCATTATAATTACGTCATCGATAATACAAACAATGAACTTTGTGTTTTCGTTTTGTAAAGTTTGTTTGTATTTCATGGGGGCTGCTCTTCTAAAACTCCTGCTGAATTACAACACTTGTCCAGGAGGAACAAAATAGGAAATGTCTGGTTATCGGACATGTACATATAAAATATATCCACAACTTTACCGAAAACGGAAAGTCAGCTAAAAAAGTTAATTAAATTAGACATAGTCAGTACCAAACTATTACAAAACTGAAACAAAAAGCCGTTTTACTGGCATTAATTAAATTTCATTGGGAAATCAAACTAAAACCTTTTTTTTTATTATGTATATTAAAATGTAACTTTTGCTCTTTCCTTGCTAATACATGTATGACTGGTCGTAATAAACCATTATGCAGCCATACATCATTTTGTCACCTCTCGTCGATTTTCGTAAATTCTCGTTGCAGGTATAACTTTTTCGGGAGTTCCAACACAATTTACCGGTGTCCCCGTGCCAAACCTCCTTCCTTTTCAAACTTCCGCTTGGAATCGAAAATGGGATGGTCCTGGGTACTTTTTACCGTCCGGTGATAAATGGTTCCACGACCATGACAGCCCTGCCATCCCTCCGGAATCTAGACTGTTTTACAACGAGGAAGACTGGATAAAATACAAACACATGTTGGAAAAGCCATGTTTACCAACCCTCCAAAAGTAATATATTTAGACAAAACTACTTACATATAGCTACTGATCTTTTGAGGGACTGAATGAGATTTTGTTTATGAATGGGGTCGAGTGGTAATTTCTGGCTTATCTGTGCATATGTCTAATTCTACGATGCACCCCTAGGGGCCTCTCAGTCTACTGATAATTTCAAACAGAAGCCATACACAGCAGGCTGTCGTGAACAATGATATGTAAATGGCATGCTGTTGGTCCTTTTAAAGTTTAATGTTTCTGCTTTCAATACACGCCCATTTGATGAACCGTTGAGGGCGCTGAAGAACTTGTTAAAAATGACTAGAGAATTTACACGGCTTCTTTAATTATGTGTGACGAAGATATCCTACTGTGGAATGAAGTTTGTTACTTTCAAGTCGCACACTATCAATTAATGACAATCAGCACACCTCGTTCCATTAGCTCATTTATGTGGTCTCCAGGAACTTGATGGTCTCGTAATCAGACAAAACAGCCTACTCACTGCACCGTATTGTTGAAAGGACTTGTATGGTTTGAAAGAAAACGACATGAGTGGTGACTTAAGAATTCAATTTTCAATCGGTAATGGATCGTACCGGTGAGTTTTTCTGCGTACAGGGTACAGGAACTAGACGATTTGTGTTGTAAAGTGACAGACACACCGATTGTCACAACAATTAGCACTAGCTCTAAACAGGTTAAATTTCTCGGCTTTGCGAACCAAATTCGCGAAAATGTGAACTCATTATAGCGACGCTGCCTTCAAACAGGAACTATGTTATTGAAATACATTAGAGTTACACTTCCCAATATATATCTCTTCCGTTGTCTCTAAAAGATATGCTATCATGATTCGTTTTTCTTCGTTATATAAACAGCTAGTTATGGTTTAATTTTGATCAAGATATTTGAAAGAAACTATTAATGTACGAAAGTAAACCTAGAAATACAAACTGGTTCACAGATGTTACCCTTTTAAACGGAGAGAAATCGATGTTGGCATGCCGCTGTAATGTAACGTAATGTTCAGTGATTCTAACTTTTAACATGATTGATATTCGTGGTAAGTAAAGATTTAAATACTTTTCCTGTCTTTAATTGTAGGTGATCACTGGGTACAAACTCGTTACTTCAATGTTATACAAACAGATGTTCTCTCCCCCCTCTTCTGACAGACGATGTTTAACATTTGGGCATGTTGATTTGCTCTACGTTATCGAAATTATGTTTTGTTTTTGGTCTCATCAATATTATTAATTGTTACTTAATATATATAATAAATATTTACACGACGCTGTGAGTGATCTAATTTGTAATGGGTTGAAGTTCATAGTGGATCTTTATCACCGATGACTGAAAAATATCAAGAAACTCTTATTTGGTAATTGGTTTGAATTTAATGATTGTGACCACGAGGTCAACCAGTATTTAATATGATATCAACACAAACAGCAAGGCGAAAGAATGACCAGGACAAATATTTCTTAATGTGGATCGCACTTTTCACTATGTACAAAGTTCATTCAAAATGATGACGCCTTGTAGTTTAAGAATTAAACTCAATGTTTTGCACGATATTTTCGTAGAGTAAAAGACCTAGCTTTGATATTGTTTTAAAGTGGTCATTTTTATTTCGTCTCAAGGAAGCTTTCTCAGTTCATTTACTCTTTTCTTTGCATGGGTTAAATTCCTTGGTACATCAGTACACCACTGCGTACTTTATTCCCTTTTCTTTTGCAATTAAACATGGTGCAGGAGACGCGGAACGAATGTCGTAAGAGTCGACCTCCGGTCGGACGCCCCTTCCTCCAGATTCGGGTTGTTGTCTCCGTTCCTCGTGCGAAGGGAACATCGAAGAGCCCAATAGTATGGTCTGCTATATCCTACGGTATGATCGTACGGAACGATTAACAATGGTTTACCTGCGGGGTTTTCTTCTATGAAGGGGATATTACAGAGACCAAAATAGATCTGCTGCCCCCATGGCAGTATTTAAAATCTTTATATTTCTCCTTTTCCTTTCTTTGTTTTTCACTCTTGTTGTCTTCTTTGATACACGTCTTCATATGACCTTTATTGTTGCGGGAACGTTTAGTCCGGTAAAACAAAGCCCATTCTCGTGCAATCCTGACCAGCTTGATCATCTTCTTCTACTGCCTTTTGTGTAGGTCAATATGTGTAAGGTCGCAATCTGTAATGACCGTGGCTTCGCTAGCCAGTTGAACATCGCCCCATTCGGAAAAAAGACATAATTGAAAAAAAAGAAATGTTAAAAAAAAAAAAAAAATCAAAAAACAAAAAATAAAAAAACCAATGTCTGTCAATATGCTCACAAAGAATCAACTGTTCTTTGATATCCGGTTTGCGTATTTACCGTAACATCAGTCAGTTGTAGAATAATATCTCCTTGCTATCGATTTTTGTAATATCTATTAATCAGTGACGATTTTCTCACCTCACTGAAAACCACAACAAATTCGGGAAATACACGTGTGTCTAATTTGAAAGACATTACCAGAACGTAAACTGTGCGTCATACGTCATCCGGTAAGAGATTACTAGCAAAAGATTTTACTATGGAAAAAAGGAAATAAAAAGATGTTATAGGTTGGGTTGTCAAAGACACACAAGTGGATTACATCTTTTAATACAAACTTGAATAAGGTACAGTAGAGCCAAACAATGAATTAAACTGCATCATACAGCTGTTTCGTGCCTCTAGGAATTGTCGGTGATGCTGAGGACCGAGATTTTGAAACCTAGGAAGCGACTAAGGAAAGTTCAAAATAAGTGACGTCATCTTTTGGTCAAAGTGGAGAGTCTGATGTCAGTGTATTTGTTTGAACGGCCTCCTTGGTGTGGTAAATTAGTTGGTAAGTGAAAGTCATACCTTATAGCCTCCTGTTTATTGTTGGAAAAACGTACTTGATGTGTCCTATAGGTATCCGTATAGTGTTGTTATATGGACAGTCCGTCATTCCACCTCTTTGACCACCATTACAATGAATGGGTAATCTAGGGATGTATATATCACGAAATAACTTCTGTTTATGTTGACAGTTTTTTAACTGACGTCGAGTGAAGTTATTATTGCCAGCAAAGGGCTTGACATTTTGGAATCTTGGTTAAGTTTCTCCGGTAAAAAAGACTGTTTACAGATCGTTCCTTCAACAAAACACTATTTCGGTGAAAGTAATTAAATCTTATCAGGACTTGAATCATTTACACATATTATGGTGTTGTCGTGGACATCCAGATCACGATATCTACTATACTGGTTAATGGTTACCCCCACATAAAACATCAGAATCATTAAAACGTAATTTGAGAAATAGTTACAGTATAAAAGGTACAAGCAGTTACCCTTAAGAACTAGAAACTATAATAAAACCATTGCTTTAACGATGCACAGTCCGATTGTAACGACAAAAAAAAAAAAAAAAAAAAAAACTTTTCCCAAACGAGAAAGTAAGAATTAAGATAATCCAATATAAAAAAGGAGACATTATACCGAGATAAAAAAAAAAAGAAAATCGATAAAGCAAGATTAACGTGTGGACAATACGAGGGTCATTGAAAAGTACAAGGAAATCATGCAGTCTCGAAGGGCGCATGTCATGTAAATCTAGGCCAGTTCATGTCACCTTCTTAGAATGACACAAGGAAAGTACTAGGCACTCATACATTCTAACGGGAATCGAATGCAGTTAACTTTATGTGAAATATATCACCGCGGTCAATTTTAAAACAAATACTTCATTAGTTCGGAGTCATCTCTCTGAAATCGGTAACCCTTATCTTTTGAAAACTGTTTGTGAAAAACAAAGAAAAATATCTCCAAGCCTACTGATCCCCAAATTAATGCTAAATAGATAGATAAAATCCATATATAGATCGTTTACGTTGCTAATAGACTCATTTTTTTTCTGTATTTGATAAACATGCATCGTTGAATTATAAAACACAGCACAAGTTAAACTTACATTCAAAACTACAGACCAATAATTTACCGCATGTAATTTAGAATTAATTTAGTGAAACCTGCAGATAGTCAGGGACAGACGTTAGTAAGGAACATTACAGGACATGACACAGTTCAAATATAGACAAGCAAAAACAGGAAAAGATGGACTAGATTTGAAATCAAAGTTCGGAAAATAAAACCAATTTAGTATAAAAAAGGAAGGTTGGGAAAATACAGAATATCTGCACATTAACAAAGAAAGAAAAAAACTCTTTTCCCAACAAGTGTAAAAAATAAGATATAATATTCTAAGGTTCTCTGCTTATACATGAAAATTTCTCAACGTACTAAAATTACATCTTGTTTGATTATCCGGAAAATCAACGCCAAGAGTCATCTGGACGAATACTGATGACGAAATGTACATGTACCTGAAAAGTGTCGTCGACACACTCAAAGTAATATATATAGACCCGAAGCGCCTGTTGAGTCGATCTCTGCCTATTGGAATTAAGACAGGAGGTTTCTTTTGTGACGAAACAGGTTTGCAATCAATGAATATTTTTGAGTACTTTATGATTTTATATTAAGGTGTGTTTGTCATTTTTAGTATTTATTCAAGAAACTTTAATTACAGGAACGTTTTAACGACTTGAAACAAGTTCGTTCTTCCAAATCACCTTCCATTTTACTATTGATAAAACATTCTAGGATCATGTCATATAAGGAATTCTGCAATAACTCTATTGGTCAGTATGGACGTTTTTTCCCTTATATCATATAATGTTCACCTGCCTGAAGATACCTTAACAAAAAAATACGGAACACAGTTCCAGACCAACATTTACGCGGGTGTCGCTAATTAAGCAGAAAACGCTAACTCTTCAGGAACGTCTGGTCTTCTCCACCTTGTCTCGAGTCTGTGTAAATCTTTCTTTTGTTCATAATTTGCCATTGTTTCTTTGAAATTGAATTTGAATTATGATTATTATATTATTGTGTTGACTTGTTTACTTTTTTTATCATTATTTACTTTTAAGATGACAGGTCAGTGTAAGGTATCTTTTTTAAACAATGTTGCAGATGATTAAAAAAAGAAAATATCTAAAAGATCTTTG